CAGAGGTGGAGTAGCCTCTGGGTGGAACAGGACGGGTCACAGCAGCAGAGGTGGAGTAGTCTCTGGGTGGTGCAGGACGGGTCACAGCAGCAGAGGTGGAGTAGCCTCTGGGTGGAGTAGATTCTGGGTGGAGTAGACTCTGGGTGGAGCAGGACGGGTCACAGCAGCAGAGGTAGAGTAGACTCTGGGTGGAGTAGGACGGGTCACAGCAGCAGAGGTGGAGTAGACTCTGGGTGGAGCAGGGCGGGTCACGGCGGCAGAGGTGGAGTAGCCTCTGGGTGGAGCAGGACGGGTCACATCAGCAGAGGTGGAGTAGCCTCTGGGTGGAGCAGGACGGGTCACATCAGCAGAGGTGGAGTAGACTCTGGGTGGAGTAGATTCTGGGTGGAGTAGACTCTGGGTGGAGCAGGACGGGTCACAGCAGCAGAGGTAGAGTAGACTCTGGGTGGAGCAGGGCGGGTCACGGCAGCAGTGGTGGAGTAGCCTCTGGGTGGAGCAGGACGGGTCACAGCAGCAGAGGTGGAGTAGCCTCTGGGTGGAGCAGGACGGGTCACATCAGCAGAGGTGGAGTAGACTCTGGGTGGAGCAGGACGGGTCACAACAGCAGAGGGTGGAGTAGCCTCTGGGTGGAGTAGACTCTGGGTGGAGTAGACTCTGGGTGGAGCAGGACGAGTCACAGCAGCAGAGGTGGAGGAGACTCTGGGTGGAGCAGGGCGGGTCACGGCAGCAGAGGTGGAGTAGCCTCTGGGTGGAACAGGACGGGTCACAGCAGCAGAGGTGGAGTAGTCTCTGGGTGGTGCAGGACGGGTCACAGCAGCAGAGGTGGGGTAGTCTCTGGGTGGTGCAGGACGGGTCACAGCAGCAGAGGTGGAGTAAACTCTGGGTGGAGTAGACTCTGGGTGGAGCAGGACGGGTCACAGCAGCAGAGGTAGAGTAGACTCTGGGTGGAGCAGGGCGGGTCACGGCAGCAGTGGTGGAGTAGCCTCTGGGTGGAGCAGGACGGGTCACAGCAGCAGAGGTGGAGTAGCCTCTGGGTGGAGCAGGACGGGTCACATCAGCAGAGGTGGAGTAGACTCTGGGTGGAGCAGGACGGGTCACAACAGCAGAGGTGGAGTAGCCTCTGGGTGGAGTAGACTCTGGGTGGAGTAGACTCTGGGTGGAGTAGACTCTGGGTGGAGCAGGACGGGTCACAGCAGCAGAGGTGGAGTAGACTCTGGGTGGAGCAGGGCGGGTCACGGCAGCAGAGGTGGAGTAGCCTCTGGGTGGAACAGGACGGGTCACAGCAGCAGAGGTGGAGTAGTCTCTGGGTGGTGCAGGACGGGTCACAGCAGCAGAGGTGGAGTAGTCTCTGGGTGGTGCAGGACGGGTCACAGCAGCAGAGGTGGAGTAAACTCTGGGTGGAGTAGGACGGGTCACAGCAGCAGAGGTGGAGTAGACTCTGGGTGGAGCAGGGCGGGTCACGGCAGCAGAGGTGGAGTAGCCTCTGGGTGGAACAGGACGGGTCACAGCAGCAGAGGTGGAGTAGTCTCTGGGTGGTGCAGGACGGGTCACAGCAGCAGAGGTGGAGTAGCCTCTGGGTGGAGCAGGACGGGTCACAGCAGCAGAGGTGGAGTAGCCTCTGGGTGGAGCAGGACGGGTCACATCAGCAGAGGTGGAGTAGACTCTGGGTGGAGCAGGACGGGTCACAGCAGCAGAGGTGGAGTAGCCTCTGGGTGGAGTAGACTCTGGGTGGAGTAGACTCTGGGTGGAGCAGGACGGGTCACAGCAGCAGAGGTGGAGTAGACTCTGGGTGGAGCAGGGCGGGTCACGGCAGCAGAGGTGGAGTAGCCTCTGGGTGGTGCAGGACGGGTCACCAGGTGGAGCAATTGCTTAGTTGGTAAATGTGTAAATGAGATGCAGGTGAAATACAGTGATTCTCAGATTGACTCTTTAATAATCCAGAATAAAATAATCCTGGGTCCAGACGGGATTTGAAAAACCTCCAAAAGATTTTCCTCTCACTTTGACCGGAACAAAAAAAATCCCTGGTGTGGACTGTACACCATTTGTAGGTTAGAGGGAAAATCACCTGGAATTATTCTTTTAAACATATTTATTTATTCATCTAAGTTTCTATTTTTTACTTATGCTTTTAATTTTCAATTCTATTTAATTGGATTTTTTTCTATATATTTTTTTTAATTATGTATTTATTTATTTACTTATTATTTTTATGTTTCCATTTTTTTATTTCTGTTTTTTTATGTATGTTTTTATTTATTTATTTTTCTTTTTATGTATTTATTTATATTTATTTTTATTTATTTCAGTGTTTTTGTCTTTTTCCATTGCTACGACAATAAATCAAATATTACAACGTGGCACGGTGGATAGCACTCTCGCCTCTCAGCAAGTTGGTCCTGGGTTCGAATCCCGGTCAGAACAGGGTCTTTCTGAGCGGAGTTTGCATGTTCTCCCCGTGCCTGCGTAGGTTTCCTCCGGGTGCTCCGGTTTCCCCTACCACTAAAAACATGCCCACTAGGTTAAATCCTCCAGCTCTGGTCCGGACCAAGCCGAGCATCCACATCTGGAGATGGGTTCCCGGGCGCTGTTACTACGGCGACCACTGCCCCTGACGTAAGCCTTAGCGACATCAGGATCTGGGTCAAATGCAGAGGATTGAATTGCCCTACGGGGATTAATAATGTACACATTTACCTTTACATTCACAATCATTGTCGTCTTGTCACACGAATGAAAAGTAGCAGAAAGAAGAAAACATGTGTAAAAAGTAATTTATTATTGATGTAAAAAGAGTCGTGACCCAGAGGCATCGAAACAAACCCAGTGGTGGGAATAACAAATGGTTGCAACAAGTGAACTTGGATTAACACAAAAGAATGATTAAAGATAAAATTAAAATAAATATAATGAATAAATGAAATAGTATACATGCTTTTTTGGACCCACTAAAAGGTTTTGTAGCAGCCCCCGGAGCTAAAACGTCGTGGACCTCTGTGTGTCATGAATGTGAGTTTCTCCAGATTCAATATTGACGATAATGTGTGTGTTTTTTCACATGTGTGGATAGTGTCGGTGCTCGGTCTCTTGGCAACACTTTAGGTATTATGGACTTCAGATATGACGACATAACATTTGGTGTCTTACTGGAAGACAAAAACAAAGAATTTACGATTAACAACAATATTATCATGACTTTTTTCATTCACAAATGCACATTTAGAAATTCAAAACCTTTGTTTAGTATATTTCTGAGTGAATTGTCAATTTTTAGGGATTCTTTGAGGCTGTGTAATTCAAAGAAAGCACTTTGGTTATGTGACAATACTGTGAATTTACCTCTGACTCTTGTGACTCAGTAATGTGGCTTTCTATGTTCTTGTTCTGTTATTCTTTGTTCTTTTGTTTTGTTTTTATACAACTTTTGTTTATGAACATACTTGAAATTGTACTAATAATGTAAGCCTGTCTGATTTGTTCTTTCAATAAAAAATAAAAAAAATAAAAAAATGAATGTGAGTGCTGTACCCGCTATGACCAGCAGAGGGCAGTGTTTCCACGTGAACCTGCGTCTCTGTCTCTAACTTCCGTGTGTTTTGGGGCCAGTCCTGAACAGAGACAAAAGGTGCCTCCTCCTCTCCCTCCACACTTCCTTTTCCTATCAATTCTTTCTTGTTTCCTTTTCATTTCCTTTTCTAGACCCCTCCCAGTCCATTTATAATCCCAGGGGCCACTTTTTTAGTTCATTTAGAGCTGCTTTTAAATTTTAAATGAGCTGCTTTTACCTTTAATAAGTTATTCCAAATTATAACGTAGTACATGTACATTGTTTTGCTTTTAAATGCACCTGTCCATGCCATGGAGTGATAACATCTGTATTTATTTTATTTTTACGTTGGAGGAGGAAGTTCAAAAGTTTAAAAAAAAAAAAAAAAAAAAAGGCATTTGTCCTTTTTGGTCTGACCCCAAACAAAAGCAGTTTGGGAAAGTTCTGTCCCTCATTAGACCCTGTGTGTGTGTGTGTGTGTGTGTGTGTGCATATGTGTGTGTGTGTGTCTGTGTCAGTGTGCGTGTGTCTATGTTGGTGTGCATGTATGTGTGCGTCTGTCTTTACGTTAGTGAGTACGTATATATATGTTGTTTGTGTGTGTATATTAGTGTGTCTTTGTGTGTGTATGTTAGTACGTTTGAGTCAGTGTGCACGTGTGTTAGTGTGTATGTGTGTGCGTGTGTGTCTGTATGTGTGTGTGGATGTGCGTGTCTGTATGTGCGTCTGTGCATGTGGGTGTGTGCACATGTGTGTGTGCATGCATGCATGTGTGTGTGTATATGTGAGTGTGTGTGCGTGTGTTCATGTGTGTGTTAGTATGCATGTGTGTATATGTGTGCGTGTGTGTGTGTGTGTCAGTATGCATGTGTGTATATGTGGGCGTGTTTGTGTGTGTGTCAGTATGTATGTGTGTGTGTGTGTGTGTATATGTGTGTGTGTGTATGTTTTCACAAAGTGCCCATCGAGCCGTGCCCTGAGTCCCCACAGTTCCCACAGACCCCTCCCCCAGAGACAGCTCCAGCTCAGCCCCAGAACAGCAGCTCTGTCTGGGACACGGAGAGGACGGACACCCCCCTCTGGAGCTCCATCACCACAGGCTCAGACCTGGGTGAAAACTGCACCAACTTCACTGGATTACACTGGAAATATCTACCACTAATTTAAACTATTTTCAACTATTTTCCTTTTTCTTCCGTGAAAAAATTCTGCTCAAATCTGGACAGAAATTGAGGATTTAATTTTTTTGTCATTTACACTTTTGCAGCCAGAAGAGATTAAGATACATCCTTTTTTTGTGCCTTTTTTTCTTTTCCCTTGTATCTTGTGGACACCGTATACTGTGACAATGTTTAAATAACATAAAATTATTCAAGATAAAAGAAAAAATCTGCAGTTTATTTAATCAAAAATAATAATTAAGATCTTGGTTCATTTATCTTCTCTTTTTAACATGGCTCAGTTGTTAGTGTGGCTGTGTTTTTCCTCTCTGCTCCTGGTGAATGAGGTCCACAGTGGGTCGGACTTGGCCTCGTCCGTGGAGGACCCAGACCCAGGGGTGGTGAAGGCCCTCTCTGAGATGCTGGACCTGGATGTGGGTAAATCCTGGCGTCAGGTGCGAGGGGCCGAGGAGGAGGACCAGCAGTCTGCCTTCGGCCTGTCGCCTGAGAACGACTCTGTGACTGTCTCTGCTTCCAACCTGAGCGTCCTGAATGAGTCCACCCCAGAACCGGGCTTCAGGAACCCCCTGCAGCCCCTGAGGGAGGGCTCGGTGCTGGGCTGGGCCGTGCTGGTGCTGGGGGGCCTGGTGCTGGTGCTGGGGGTTGGGGGAAACATGGCCGTCATGTGTGTGGTGTGGAATAACTACTACATGAGGTCCGGGTGGAACTGCCTGCTCGCCAGTGTCTGTCTCTGGGACTTCCTGGTTCTGATCCTGTGCGTCCCGGTTATTGTGCTGGGCCAGCTCTCGGACCGACGGATCCTCCCGGACATCACCTGTCGCCTGGTGCCGTACATGGAGGTGGGTGGGACACTCTCGCAGCAGACAGAAACGTGTTCTTAAAATTACTTATATTGTTGTTCTGAACTGCTCTCCATCATGACTATTTTAACGTCCAACTTTTATAAGAATTTAGATTCCAACCAAGAGATACAACGGACAAAGAACATGGAAATGAATCTGACTCCTTAAATCAGGGTCAAACTCATTATGATCAGGGCCCGAAGAAATAAAAATAAGAACTGGTCGGGGTCACGATAGATGTATAACATGCCTTAGCTAATTATCATTAATGCTGAAAGTTAATAATAATAATTGAAAATCCTTTTAGGGGCCACTAGAAATTGTCTTGCGGCCCTAATTTGGCCCACGAGCCTGAGTTTGGCCCGCCTGCTTTAAACTAAACCAAGCCAGACTCCGCCCACATAACCAGCCTGACTCCGCCCACATGAACAACCTGGCTCCGCCCACATGAGCCTTTGGCCGGACGACCAGGGGACACAAAGGGGGGCCTAGAGTGGGCGTGGTCTGGGCTGTGATTGACAGCTGGCTTGTCAATCACAATTGTCATTTCTGGTTTAAAGCAATAGTTTACACCAGAAAGTCTCATTCCCTCGTTTGAAAACTAAGATAATTATTGCTCGACCTGAACGTAGTGGCTCTCAACTGATGTAATTACATTTTAAACCACTAGATGTCGCCAGAATACTCAGAGTGATGTCACACTGCACAAAGTGATGTCACACTGCACTCCAGAGCCAATGAGAGGCCAGGACAAAATTTAAATGTAGTACCACCGAAAATGTAGAGGGGGCGCCACACAGACTGTTTTAGGCTCATAAGTGAGTTCATTTGGTGTTTAGGGCCGACATGGTGGCTGAGTGGTTAGCATTCTCGCTTCTCAGCAAGAAGGTCCTGGGTTTTAATCCGGGTCGGAATGGGGCCTTTCTGGGTGGAGTTTGCATGTTCTCCCCGTGTCTGTGTAGGTTTCCTCTGGGTGCTCCGGTTCACCCTACCACTAAAAACATGCAGAATAGGTCTGAATGTAATGAGTGAGTGAATGGAGGGTGTTTGGTCGGTCCGAACATTGTAAAGTGCTTTGGGGGAACTTGGTCTGTTACTCACTTACTTTAGTTGTTCTTTAAAGAAGCAGTGTGTAAAAATGTGTCCAAAAGTGGTACTGCAGCCTCTCCCACTCTCCCTGACTCAGGTTGCCAGATATGCAGACGAATCCAGCTGGGACCATAACAGCTGAATAGACAAGAGTTTTGTCAACAACAAATCTATAACCAACACCTTTTTCACAAAGATAGAAATCCTGGTTTTATTCCTTGTTTTGTTGTTAATGATTTGAGAATCATAACGAGACCTTTTTTAGTTCTGCGCAGTTTATTATCATGACAGATTAGGGCCCTTTAATGATGACGGATTAGGGCCCTTTAATGATGACAGATTAGGGCCCTTTAATGATGACAGATTAGGGCCCTTTAATGATGACAGATTAGGGCTCTTTAATGCTGACAGATTAGGCCCTTTAATGATGACAGATTAGGGCCCTTTAATGATGACAGATTAGGGCCCTTTAATGATGACAGATTAGGGCCCTTTAATGATGACAGATTAGGGCCCTTTAATGATGACAGATTAGGCCCTTTAATGATGACATAATAGGGCCCTTTAATGATGACAGATTAGGGCCCTTTAATGATGACAGATTAGGGCCCTTTAATGATGACATATTAGGGCCCTTTAATGATGACAGATTAGGGCCCTTTAATGATGACAGATTAGGGCCCTTTAATAACGACTAGACATGAAAATCTTACATATTGCTAGTTTAATTTGAGGGGAACTTGGCCATCTTGGGAAATAAATGAATATAATAAATATGGGTCATAATCAGTTGTGTCCTCTCTGGTCATGTGACCCGGTCCCCAATCTTGGATTATAATAAATTATTTATTTATTGTTTATTTGTTTGGGACAGTACATGCTCATGAACACATCACTCACAAACACACACTCATTCACCCTGAACTACTGCACATGGTTTTAGTGGTAGAGGAAACCTAGGCAGACACGGGGAGAACATGCAAACTCCACTCAGCAAGGCCCTGTTCCAACCGGGATTCGAACCCAGAACCTTCTTGCTGAGAGGCGAGAGCGCTAACCTCCCCTCATGTGGCGTCTCCGTTGCAGGTGGTGTCTCTGGGGTTGTCGTCCTTCACGCTCTGTGTTTTGGGAGTCGATCGTTTCCATGCAGCCACTTCGTCTCCTCCGGACTCTTCGAACAGAACCTGTGGCGCTGGTCGTGTGGAGCGCTGCAGGTCGGTTCTGTTGAAGCTGATCTTTGTTTGGCTAACGGCTCTGACGTTAGCGTCCCCAGAGCTGTTCCTCTGGGAGTCCGGGCCCCTGGTGATGGTCGGGGGCCGTTTGGTCGACACCTGCTCCCTCACAACATCCTCTCCTCTGATCCTGCTGCTGCCGGACTCTCTGCACTCACTGCTGCTCCGGTACCATCAGGTCAGTACCACAGCGGGTCAGTACCATCAGGTCAGTACCATCAGGTCAGTACCATCAGGTCAGTACCACAGCGGGTCAGTACCATCAGGTCAGTACCATCAGGTCAGTACCATCAAGTCAGTACCAGAGCAGATCAGTACCATCAGGTCAGTACCACAGCGGGTCAGTACCAGGGTCAGTACCAGAGCTGGTCAGTACTAGAGCGGGTCAGTACCAGAGCAGGTCAGTACCAGAAAGAGCGGGTCAGTACAAGAGTGGGTCAGTACCAGAAAGAGCCGGTCAGTACCATCAGCTCAGTACCAGAGCGGGTCAGTACCATCAGGTCAGTACCATCAGGTCAGTTCTAGAGCGGGTCAGTACCAGAGCGGGTCAGTACTAGAGCGGGTCAGTACCAGAGCGGGTCAGTACCATCAGGTCAGTACCACAGCGGGTCAGTACCATCAGGTCAGTACCACAGCGGGTCAGTACCAGGGTCAGTACCAGAGCGGGTCAGTACCAGGGTCAGTACCAGAGCGGGTCAGTACTAGAGCGGGCCAGTACCAGAGCAGGTCAGTACCAGAAAGAGCGGGTCAGTACAAGAGTGGGTCAGTACCAGAAAGAGCCGGTCAGTACCATCAGCTCAGTACCAGAGCGGGTCAGTACCATCAGGTCAGTTCCAGAGCGGGTCAGTACCAGAGCGGTTCAGTACCAGAGCGGGTCAGTACCAGAGCTGGTCAGTACAAGAGCGGGTCAGTACCAGGATCAGTACCAGAGCTGATCAGTACTAGAGCGGGTCAGTACCAGAGCTGGTCAGTACTAGAGCGGGTCAGTACCAGAGCGGGTCAGTACCAGAAAGAGCGGGTCAGTACAAGAGTGGGTCAGTACCAGAAAGAGCCGGTTGTTACTATCAACGGATCAGTACGATCAGGTCAGTTCCAGAGCGGGTCAGTATCAGAGCGGGTCAGTACCATCAGGTCAGTACCAGAGCAGGTCAGTACCATCAGGTCAGTACCACAGTGGGTCAGTACCATCAGGTCAGTACCACAGCCGGTCAGTACCATCAGGTCAGTACCAGAAAGAGTGGGTCAGTACCAGAGCGGGTCAGTACCAGAAAGAGCAGGTCAGTACCAGAGTGGGTCAGTACTAGAGTGGGTCAGTACCAGAGCGGGTCAGTACCAGGGTCAATACCAGAGCAGGTCAGTACCAGAAAGAGTGGGTCACTGAACTGAAAAAAATCCTTTGCATTTTTTTTATGAAAATAAGTAAAATACTGCTTTAAAATAATAAAAAATTAAATTAAATTAGCCCCAAATTACTTTATGCTAGTTTAAAAACATACAATTTAAGATTATGTACGGAATATTTCAGTACATAATCTTAAATGATGTTTTTTTTATGCTAAGCTTTTGTTGCTTGAATGTACTTTGTCATAAGATTATTTTACTAGTTTAAAGATACTTCAGAATATTATCAGAGAAAAAAGTCTGAGCAGTGACTTTTTAAGATTGTTTTTTCCAGACTTTTCAAAAAATGTTTAAGAAATAAGTGAATAATACTTGAAATGTATGTTTTTAAACTAGAATCAGGTCATTTGGGGCTAGAATTTATTATTTTCAGAAATTTTAGGTCACATTTTCTTCTTCCATTGACAGATAATTTTGATCTTTTTAAGCAAGTTTTTATTTATTTTCACCCCTCTGTCCCAGGCCTGTCTGTAATGGTCCTCACCCTCTCACCCCTCTGTCCCAGGCCTGTCTGTAATGGTCCTCACCCTCTCACCCCTCTGTCCCAGGCCTGTGTCTGTAATGGTCCTCACCCTCTCACCCCTCTGTCCCAGGCCTGTCTGTAATGGTCCTCACCCTCTCACCCCTCTGTCCCAGGCCTGTGTCTGTAATGGTCCTCACCCTCTCACCCCTCTGTCCCAGGCCTGTGTCTGTAATGGTCCTCACCCTCTCACCCCTCTGTCCCAGGCCTGTCTGTAATGGTCCTCACCCTCTCACCCCTCTGTCCCAGGCCTGTCTGTAATGGTCTTCACCCTCTCACCCCTCTGTCCCAGGCCCGTATCTATAGTAATGGTCCTCACCCTCTCATCCCTCTGACCCAGGCCTGTCTGTAATGGTCCTCACCCTCTCACCCCTCTGTCCCAGGCCTGTGTCTGTAATGGTCCTCACCCTCTCACCCCTCTGTCCCAGGCCTGTGTCTGTTCTGGTCCTCACCCTCTCACCCCTCTGTCCCAGGCCTGTGTCTGTAATGGTCCTCACCCTCTCACCCCCTCTGTCCCAGGCCTGTGTCTGTAATGGTCCTCACCCTCTCACCCCTCTGTCCCAGGCCTGTCTGTAATGGTCCTCACCCTCTCACCCCTCTGTCCCAGGCCCGTATCTATAGTAATGGTCCTCACCCTCTCATCCCTCTGACCCAGGCCTGTCTGTAATGGTCCTCACCCTCTCACCCCTCTGTCCCAGGCCTGTGTCTGTAATGGTCCTCACCCTCTCACCCCTCTGTCCCAGGCCTGTGTCTGTAATGGTCCTCACCCTCTCACCCCTCTGTCCCAGGCCTGTCTGTAATGGTCCTCACCCTCTCACCCCTCTGTCCCAGGCCCGTATCTATAGTAATGGTCCTCACCCTCTCATCCCTCTGTCCCAGGCCTGTCTGTAATGGTCCTCACCCTCTCACCCCTCTGTCCCAGGCCTGTCTGTAATGGTCCTCACCCTCTCACCCCTCTGTCCCAGGCCTGTCTGTAATGGTCCTCACCCTCTCACCCCTCTGTCCCAGGCCTGTGTCTGTAATGGTCCTCACCCTCTCACCCCTCTGTCCCAGGCCTGTGTCTGTAATGGTCCTCACCCTCTCACCCCTCTGTCCCAGGCCTGTCTGTAATGGTCCTCACCCTCTCACCCCTCTGTCCCAGGCCTGTCTGTAATGGTCCTCACCCTCTCACCCCTCTGTCCCAGGCCCGTATCTATAGTAATGGTCCTCACCCTCTCATCCCTCTGACCCAGGCCTGTCTGTAATGGTCCTCACCCTCTCACCCCTCTGTCCCAGGCCTGTCTGTAATGGTCCTCACCCTCTCACCCCTCTGTCCCAGGCCTGTCTGTAATGGTCCTCACCCTCTCACCCCTCTGTCCCAGGCCCGTATCTATAGTAATGGTCCTCACCCTCTCATCCCTTTGACCCAGGCCTGTCTGTAATGGTCCTCACCCTCTCACCCCTCTGTCCCAGGCCTGTCTGTAATGGTCCGTATCTATAGTAATGGTCCTCACCCTCTCATCCCTCTGTCCCAGGCCCGTATCTATAGTAATGGTCCTCACCCTCTCATCCCTCTATCCCAGGCCCGTATCTATAGTAATGGTCCTCACCCTCTCATCCCTCTATCCCAGGCCCGTATCTATAGTAATGGTCCTCACCCTCTCATCCCTCTATCCCAGGCCCGTATCTATAATAATGGTCCTCACCCTCTCACCCCTCTGTCCCAGGCCCGTATGTGGTGGTGCTTCGGCTGCTACTTCCTGCTGCCGGTACTTTTCACCGTCCTGTGTCAGATGGCGAGCCGTAACGTCACTCCGTCCAATCAGAAGTCTCCGTTGCGACATCACGACGACGACGCGGCCAACCAGCGCCGGGCCTTGGAGCGGCAAAGGAACGGCGCCCTCTTGTGTGTGTGTGTGGTCTACGCTCTGTGCACGGGGCCGGAGCACGTGGCCAACATCACCATGACGACCGCCCACATCTCCGTCGCCCCGGAAACCGCCTCCATGCTGGTCCTCCTGCATCACTTCCTGCTGTTCGTGAAGGCGGCCGTGTCTCCTCTGCTGCTGCTCTGCCTCTGCAAGGTCTGTTTACGGAGGGGAAATTCCAGTGTTGCAGCAGCAGTTAGAGCACACAAGACAGAGAATTTAATGGTCCCTGTAGGAGAAATTTAGGAAGATAAATAACTCTAACTAAATAAAATAAAATCTTATAAAAACTCTAAAATAACTCTAAACTAAATAAAATAAAACACTATAAAAACTCTAAAATAACTCTACACTAAATAAAATAAAACACTATAAAAACTCTAAAATAACGCTACACTAAATAAAATAAAACACTATAAAAACACTAAAATACCTCCATAAATGACTACATAAATATCTCTACACTAACTCTAGATAATTCTTTACTAAATAAAATACCATGAAATAACTTTAAATAACTCTATACTAAAAAAATATTAAAATTAACGCTACACTAACTATAAATATCCTTATACCATATAAAATACTATAAAGTAACACTAAAAAAAACTCTATATATGACTTTATACTAAAATAAGTAACTCTAAATAATTCTATACTAAATGTTATAAAATATCTACACGAACGCTAAATAAATCTATGTTAAATAAAATACTATAAAATAACTCTCAATAACTATATACTAAATAAAATAAAATACTTTGAACTAACTCTACAAATCACTCTACACTAAATAAAAAAATTCTAAATATCTCTATAAATAATTCTAAACTATCTCTAAACCTATTACTAAAAAATAACTCTAAATAACTCTATTTTAAATGAAATCGAATAACTCCATGTAAAAATGAATCTATAAAAAACTCTAACTATAAATGACAATTTTATATAAATTTAAATACTATAAAATAACTATAATAACTCTACAAACAATTACACACTAACTCTAAATAATTCTATACTAAATAAAATGCGAATAATTCTATAAATAACTACACTTTAAATAACTCTATTCTAAATATATTAAAATACTATAAAATAACTATAACACTAACTCTAATTAAGTCTATAAATGACTCTATACTAAATAAAATACTATCAAACAACTCTAAAAAAAATATCTGCTTCTAAACTATAACTAATACTAATTAAAAGAAAATGACTATAAGTAACTCTGCACTAAATAAAATAATAAAATAATAAATATATAAAATAATTTTACTCCAGCATAAAAGAAGCAAATATAAAGTTTTGTGTAAAATATTTAGTTCGTTTAAATCTCAAAGTCTGTTTTTTTATGTAGCATATTTTAATAACACACAAAAGGCTTTTCTGATTATATAGGCGTAAGTATTGATTATATAGGCGTATGTATAGATTATATAGGCGTAAGTATTAATTATATAGGTGTATGTATAGATTATGTATGTATGTATTTGAATGTACTGCAGCTGTTTTACAGCCTGTTTGGACAGACCTGTGAGCAGGCCATTGCAGTAGTCTAACCTACTGGAGACAAATGCATGGATAAGAATCTCCAGGTCTGCTTTAGACACTATGTTTTTGATCCTGGAAATGTTTTTTAGATGGTAAAAAGCTGCTGATGTTACTGATTTGATGTGGCTATTAAAATGTAAGTCTGAGTCCAGTATTACCCCTAGATTTCTGACCTTGTTTGAAGGTTTTAGGGAGAGAGACTGTAGGTGACAGATGACGCTCTCTCTTTGTTTCTGGGGACCAAAGACAATCATTTCAGTTTTGTCTGCGTTTAGCTGAAGGAAGTTGTTTTGCATCCACTCACTGATCTGTTGGATACAGTGAAGGAGTGAGTCCACTGGTCCATGTTCTCCTGCAGTCAGTGAGACATAGATCTGAGTGTCGTCTGCATAGTTATGATAGGAAACTTTGTTTCTGCGTATTAACTGACCTAACGGCAGCATGTAGAGATTGAACAGAAGAGGTCCCAGGATCGACCCCTGTGGGACTCCACAGGTCAGGGCCATATGATCTGAGACACAGTTTCCAATCTCCACAAAGTACTTCCTGTCTTCAAGGTAAGACCTAAACCAACTTAGGGCGGTGCCAGTGACGCCAACCCAGTCCTCTAGTCTCTGTAAGAGGATCTCATGGTCGACGGTGTCAAAGGCAGCACTTAGAGCTAACAAGATTAAGATTGAGACTTTGCCTGCGTCAGTGTTCAGCCGGATATCATTTGTAACCTTAACGAGAGCAGTCTCAGTGCTGTGGTGGGGTCTAAAGCCGGACTGAAACATATCAAATGAGTTGTTGATTATAAGAAATGTAGGTAGACAACTTTCTCAAGGACTTTCCCCATAAATGGCAGATTTGAGATGGGACGATAGTTGTTAAGTACCGTAGCATCGAGACTGCTCTTTTTTAGCAGGGGCCTGATGACTGCAGTTTTCAGGGCCTTTGGAAATATTCCAGAATGAAGGGACATGTTTACTATCTGTGTGAGTGAAGGTAACAGACTGCTCAGAACAGACTTCAGAAATCTAGTGGGTAGTACATCCAAGCTGCATGTGGAGGAGCTCAAACTGGAGATTATCTCTTGGACAGTTTGATCATTTACAGGTGCAAAGTGAGTTAGCTCAGAGAGCCTTTCTGGCTGTTGAATTGTTATCTGTGGATTGGAGACAATGGCGTTTTTGATGCCTTGAACCTTGTCATTGAAAAAATTAGCAAACTCATTGCATTTACGTTTGGAAGTTAGCTCTAATGGCATTTGAACAGGGGGGTTTGTTAATCTATTAACTGTTGAGAACAGAACACGCAGATTGTTGCTGCAGCCTTCAATCATTTCAGAAAAATACCTTTCTCTCGTACTACGTAGCACCCGGTTAAACTCGCACAACTTATCTTTGAAGATCTCGTAATCAACCTGGAGGTTGGATTTGCGCCACTTCCGCTCGACCCTCCGGCACTCTCTCTTTTGTGCCCTGACCGAGCCTGCTTTAGCCCACGGCGCCTTCTGCTTATTTTTCACTATTTTAACCTTCACAGGGGCAACGGTATCCAGAACATTCAAAACACTAGAGGTGACAGAGTTAAACAGTTCATCTACAGTAGAATACGATGCATTCTCAAAGTTTATCATTTCCATAAATAGTTCACTCGTATTTTCATTTATGCGCCTTCTTCGAACAGTTGCAGAGTCCACTGGTGGTTTGTTAGTGAAACACATGTCAAAAAAAACACAGAAATGATCCGAAAGAGCAACATCGACCACGTTTACATTTGAAATAATCACCCCCTTTGTAACTAACAGATCTAGAGTGTGCCCTCTGCTGTGGGTGGGGCCACTTACGTGCTGAGTGAGATCAAAGGATTCAAGTACAGAACTCAGCTCATTTGCATTTCTGTCATCAACATTATCCACATGAATATTAAAATCACCTGTAATAACCAAACTATCAAAATCTGTGCATACAACTGAAAGCAACTCGGTAAAATTATCAATAAAACTGTGACATGACTGCGGTGGCTTGTATAGGACAACGAAGAGTATTGGAGGAGATTGTTTTTGTTGTATTTTAAAAGACACATATTCAAATGACGAAAACTTCCCAAGAGACATTCTATGGGAGACAAAGTGGTCTCTAAAAATGGCAGCTAAGCCTCCTCCTTTTTTGTTTTCCCGTATTTCAGATTCAAACTTGAAATTTGGTGGTGATGCTTCTATTAAAACTGCATTTTCTGAATTTTGGTCAAGCCAAGTTTCAGCCATGAACATAAGATCAAGATTATGAGAACAAATAAAATTATTGATTAAAAAAGACTTGTTACAAAGAGATCTGACATTAAGCGTAGCAAGTTTCAAAGTTTCAGTATCAGCGGTTGCGGTCGGCTGATTCTTATACGGAACAAGAATTAGATTTTCCAGATTAGACTGATTAACTCCAGATGTTTTTCTGTAATGTATTCTTTGTGTTATCACTAAGGGAATGGCACAGGTGGCTTCATGACAGGGCCCCAGCCGGGTCTCTCCTCTAACTAGACTGCCAGTGGCTGCGAAGCAGAGACCCTGTGCATCCTAGTGTTTAGAGAAAAGAGGGGAAGGGGAAGGCAGGGGAGGAGGATGGAGAGGTGGGTGGCTTTTGGGTGTTGAACGAGGGGGGCAGGGAGGTGGAGGGGTTTTAGGTGATGGGTTAGGGCCGGGGTGGGCTGAGGCAGAGGTTTTGGATGTTGAACGAGGGGGAAGTGGGGGTGGAATGGTCATGAGGTTAGGGGAGGGACTGGCTGAGGTGGTTTTTGTAGGTGAATTGGAAACCCTAGGTGGTTTTGGAGGTACATATGGGGAGTGGTTTAGCATGTTGGACAGGACCCTAGATCGAGCTAATATGGGTGTGAGAGGAATAGTCTTCATCGCCGATTTTATTAGCCCTGCAGAGTGTTCAGATAGGTCTAACAGTGAAGGCGGGGATGAAAAACAAAGGGAGGTGTCCCCATTCTCTCTTGATGGAGTGGACGTGGCAGGGGGGACCCAAGACAGGTCCATGGGAGGTGGCGAGGGAGTCTCTGATGGAGGGGCAGGTGGTTGAGGAAACCCCAGCACAGGCCTGTCTGCTGTAGGCTGGGGTGAGGATGGGGGCTTCAGAGGCGCTGTAGATGAAGAAGGCGTGGCTGCTTTGGAGCAGGCTGGGGATGAGGATGTTGGTGGTGGTGGTCGTGCTGCTGGTGCTGCTACTGGTGATGATGCAGCTGCTGCTGGTGATGATGCAGCTGCATCTGATGACAGTGGAGGTGTTGAGATCCTTCGAGGTGGTGGTGGTGTTGAGATCCTTCGAGGTGGTGGTGGTGTTGAGATCCTTCGAGGTGGTGGAGGTGCAGAGACTTTTGGAGTTGGCTTCCTTCCTTTCGATGGCTGCACGCGCTGCGCAGGCTGAGGTCTCAGGGCAAAAGAAAGGTTATCCATCAACACTTTTACTCCGTAAGTGTTCAGATGTGGCCCTTTCCCTTCAAAAAGCTCATGCCTATTCCAGAACAGATTAAAATTCTCAATGAAGGCAAGTCCTCTGCGTGAACATTCGTTGAGTAGGAAAGTATTTAGCTGATACAGACGACTGAATTTCATTTGCTTCCCGTCCACATTTGGTAGTGGGCCACTGATAACGATTTTTGTGTCCATTTTAGCAAGGTCGTCCAATAATAGAGAGTAATCCCGTTTCAACTTTTCACTTGTGTTGTCATAGACGTCTACTGCCCCCACGTGGATCAACAATCTTTTTACCCCGCCGGTCTCAGACAGAAGCCTCGGAGCCAACCGCCTTATCTCATCCACTTTGGCAGAGTGTACTGAGTGAACCTTGAGATTACGCATATTTACATTTCTTATCGCCGAATCCCCGATAAAGAGCGACTCAGCTGCATTTGACCTTGACTGAGACTGAGACTGGGACTGAGAGACTACTGCTGATTCATCTTCCAAAAGTGGTGAAAAGCGGTTTCTTGTAATTAAAGATTTTTGCTGTGGCATTATGACACTCTTGTTATCATTAGCTTTGCCTTGTTTGGGCTTGGCACATATGTGTTCCAACAATTGTCTCTGTTGATTTTGGGAAATGAAATAGCGTCATCATAACTTACGTTCTGTCCATGTGGTCCATTTCCTTTCACTGGTATTGTTGTGTTCAGCCCCAATTCTGATTCAAGCACAAACATTCGGTCTTGAAGAAGTTTTAGCTCCTGTTTGAGTGAAAAACAGCCGTCGCAAAGTTTTGTTCTATTTTCCCGTCCTCCCGACATGCTGTAAGTTAGGTAAATTCCACCAGTCTTGTGTTGAAGTTTGTAAAAAGGAGTAATCCGTGTTTTGTGGAATAAAAATGTAAGCAAAAATGATTAAAGGAGATAAAAAAGCAGCAAGCGAGGAGCAGCAAGAGAATGCGACTGCTCTACTACAAGTCACGCTGCTTCTATTGGTGTATGTATAGATTATATAGGCGTATGTATAGATTATATTGGTGTATGTATAGATTATATAGGCGTATGTATAGATTATATTGGTGTATGTATTCATTATATAGGCGTATGTATAGATTATATTGGCGTAATGAGCTGGTGTGTTTTTACTGCCATACTTTTGACTTATCTATTGTAGGATTTTTGTGAATTTTTTGTAGTTTTTCTGAGAATATCCTCGGGTAGGAACCTTTGTTTTGTTGCCTGTTTCCGTGACGCTGATTGAGTTACGCAAGTCCACATGTCAAGTGAGGGTCAGCACTAGATCATACACGGAATCGGGACAAAACCGGAAGTAACACTCGTACTTTCGAATTAGTTTTAGACTAATGAGTCCTTAAGTGGTGACTGGATAAGTTTTAGGTGTCTGAGTAAGATGGTTAAGGTTAGGGTTAAGGTGGGTCTGAGTAAGATGGTTAAGGTTAGGGTTAAGGTGGTCTGAGTAAGATGGTTAAGGTTAGGGTTAAGGTGGTCTGAGTAAGATGGTTATGGTTAGGGTTAAGGTGGTCCGACACAGAGATATTGTGTACAAAGCAATAATAAAGAAGAGAGCCATCAGTTAAAGAACTCATAATTGACCATACACAGAGGAGACGTAAGTGCAGAGAATCAGACTCTAACTTGCATTTCTCTGACCCAGTCTCTAGGACAGGCGTTCATGGATTGTTGCTGCTGTTGCTGCGCCGAGTGTCAGTCCATCTCGTCACAGGGAAGCCCCGCCCACATCAAGCTCAAGTCCAACGAAACCTCCATCTTCTTTGACAAAGGCAAGGACACGTCGGCCATCTTGTCAATCTCCAGCTGAAGACGTGGGCTCTCTGTCCTGCCCTGGGTTCCCTTTAACAGCCATCATTATAATTGTTTTTCTTTCATAGTCTGTGCTTTTGTGTGACATCACTGTGAATCAAGTCGACTGTAAAGAAGGATCCACATTGAGACAAAGTTAAAGGTATAAAGGAGGATTTTCCCACGTTTTAGGATAACAATGCATCGGTTTTACACAGGGCTTTTTTGGACTCTCAAAGACGCTTCACATAATTATTCTCTCTCTAAACACGGTGGTGATAAACTACTACTGTAGCCACAGCTGCCCTGGGGCACACTGACAGAAGCGAGACAACCAGTCTGTGTCATCAGCCCCTCCCACCACCACCAACCATTCACACACACCAGACTCATTCTAGGCAACGGGGGTTAAATGTCTTGCCCAAGGACACAACGACAGCAGGCATCAGTGGGAGTTGTGAAGTAGGTCTCGTGGTAGATTCGAACCTACAACCTTCAGGCTCAAAGGCCAATGCTCTACCAACTGAGCCACTGTCGTCTCAAAACTTGCTGAGCATATATCCCCAGACTGAGTGACGATTGGGAGGACCATTAATCTCGATGATAAACCAGGAAGTAGAAAATCCTCCTCTAAACCTTTAAGCATCATGGAAAAGATCAAACCACTGCAAACATTCACTTCCAGAGCAGTGGACGTGACTCTGAAGATCTGAGCCTAAATGTTTACATTGTGAGTTAGCCAACACTACTACTGTTAGCTAACATTATGAAGTGGATTTTAAACAAGGAAGAAAGATACAATTTCTGGTTTAAAGGAGCAATATGGGGCTCTAATCTGATACCATCAAAGGGCCCTAATCTGTCTTCATTAAAGGGCCCTAATCCGTAATCATCAAAGGGCCCTAATCTGTCATAATTAAAGGGCCCTAATCTGTCATCATTAAAGGGCCCTAATCTGTCATCATTAAAGGGCCCTAATCTGTCATCATTAAAGGGCCCTAATATGTCATCATTAAAGGGCCCTAATCCGTAATCAACCAATCATTAAAGGGCCCTAATCTGTCTTCATTAAAGGGCCCTAATATGTCATCATTAAAGGGCCCTAATCTGTCTTCATTAAAGGGCCCTAATATGTCATCATTAAAGGGCCCTAATCTGTCATCATTAAAGGGCCCTAATCTGTCATCATTAAAGGGCCCTAATCTGTAATCATTAAAGGGCCCTAATCTGTCATCATTAAAGGGCCCTAATCTGTCATCAATAAAGGGCCCTAATATGTCATCATTAAAGGGCCCTAATCTGTCATCATTAAAGGGCCCTAATCTGTCATCATTAAAGGGCCCTAATCTGTCCAAAGGCATTAATAAAACATGCTCTGTTCCAATACTTCTTTAACTGATGACAGTAGTTCAGAGATAGCTTGGTCTTATCCATCCGTACTCTGCGCTCGATCATCATCTCCTGCATGTAGCGTCTGGGTCTGGTCCCTGTGTTTGTGATTACAATCTGTTGAATTCCATCCGACCAATCAGAGAGCGCGGGAGGCGGGTGTTGTAGTTAGATGTGGGTGACGTCAAGAGTTTGTGCTGAACGGGCAGCTTGTAGTTTGGCAAAGAATGCGATAGTAAAATAATCTGGTCTGGTTCTATCAAGAAATTTAAGCCGGAGCAAGAGGAATGTTTAGCAAATGTAATTGAGGGCAAAGATTGATGGCTAAAGCTAGGCTAAATGCTACATGCTAACTACTCACTCGGGCTCATTACATACGTCACAGTAAACTCAAATCCAATTGTTTCAATCTGCAAAAGAAGTTAGCCCCTCCCACCTGTTAACGTCAATGAAACAAATAGTAAGAAATAAAATTAGTACAATGTTGCGGTAAGACCAGGCTAGTTTAGAAATACTTTAATTTCTAAATTACTTTTCCAGCCTCTAAATCTTGTTATTGTTTTCATTTCGATGTCCCGCACTCCACCGTTTCACCAATCAGAAAGTCTGTGATCCGGGCGCCAGAACTCACTGCGTGGAGCTAATCTCACTGGTAAAGTACCATGTGGCGCAGAACTAAAAAAGGTCTCGTTATGATTCTCAAATCATTAACGACAAAACAAGGAATAAAACCAGGATTTCTATCTTTGTGAAAAAGGTGTTGGTTATAGATTTGTTGTTGACAAAACTCTTGTCTATTCAGCTGTTATGGTCCCAGCTGGATTCATCTGCATATCTGGCAACCTGAGTCAGGGAGAGCGGGAGAGGCTGCAGTACCACTTTTGGCCACATTTTTACAGACTGCTGCTTTAAAAGTCCAACTGAATCTAGAGAATGATTTAATTCAGAAATATGCACATTTTGTCTCAAATGTGGAACCTGAAGTTTAATTGTAAATATTTCTGTGTTTTGGTAAAGAAGAACTTTAACTTTAGTTTGACGCTAATGCTGAACTTGCACAGATTGAATGGACAGAAAAACCTCACATGGTTTTAAAAATATGGTAAAAATGTCTTAAATCCATCAAACCTGTTATGGAAACGATGGACCAGGACCAAGACCAGTCCACCACTGAACCCGGGTTAGACCGAGACAGACCAGTCCACCACTGAACCCGGGTTAGACCGAGACAGACCAGTCCACCACTGAACCCGGGTTAGACCGAGACAGACCAGTCCACCACTGAACCCGGGTTAGACCGAGACAGACCAGTCCACCGATAAACCAGGGTTAGACCAAGACAGACCAGTCCACCACTGAACCCGGGTTAGACCGAGACAGACCAGTCCACCACTGAACCTGGGTTAGACCGACACAGACCAGTCCACCACTTAACCGGGGTTAGACCGAGACAGACCAGTCCACCACTAAACCCAGGTTAGACCGAGACAGTCCAGTCCACCACTGAACCCGGGTTAGACCGAGACAAACCAGTCCACCACTGAACCAGGGTTAGACCAAGACAGACCAGTCCACCACTAAACCCAGGTTAGACCGAGACAGTCCAGTCCACCACTGAACCCGGGTTAGACCGAGACAGACCAGTCCACCGATAAACCCGGGTTAGACCAAGACAGACCAGTCCACCACTGAACCCGGGTTAGACCGAGACAGACCAGTCCACCACTGAACCCGGGTTAGACCGAGACAGACCAGTCCACCGATAAACCCGGGTTAGACCAAGACAGACCAGTCCACCACTGAACCCGGGTTAGACCGAGACAGACCAGTCCACCACTGAACCCGGGTTAGACCGAGACAGGCCTGCCACAGTGGAGGCCGTGGTCGGGACTTTCCAAAACCTGCAGAGATGACGATAATATAAATAGAGTATTAATACTGTAGCACTTTAACTGACGCTAAGCAGCTCAGACTGTGGAAATTAGAGATGTCACAAATGATGAATGTTTCACAATAAAATGTGTCAATGTAAGAATTATGCCGGATTAGGTCTATTTATTTAAACAAGGATGCATTGTGTGTACGTTACCAGCAAGAGATACTCATGGTTTGTACTCTGAGGTTCTGAGGGCTACGTCTGAAACCATAAAGAATCACAACGAAGGAAAAATAAATCTGTCTTTGAGTCAAAATGATCCACCACAGCGATTAAACATGGAAGAAAAATACTCTAAATTAAAATATAAAAGGGTCTGACTATATTGGAGAGACCAGAGAAAGACCAGAGAGAGACCAGAGAAAGACCAGAGAGACCAGAGAGAGGCCAGAGAGAGGCCAGAGAGAGACCAGAGAGAGAGACCAGAGAAAGACCAGAGAGAGACCAGAGAGAGACCAGAGAGAGACCAGAGAGAGAGACCAGAGAGAGAGACTAGAGAGAGAGACCAGAGAGAGACCAGAGAGAGACTAGAGAGAGACCAGAGAGAGGGACTAGAGAGAGAGACCAGAGAGAGACTAGAGAGAGAGGCCAGAGAGAGACCAGAGAGAGACTAGAGAGAGAGGCCAGAGAGAGGCCAGAGAAAGACCAGAGAGAGGCCAGAGAGACCAGAGAGAGACCAGAGAGAGACCAGAGAGAGACCAGAGAGAGACCAGAGAGAGACCAGAGAGAGAGACCAGAGAAAGACCAGAGAGAGACCAGAGAGAGACCAGAGAGAGAGACCAGAGAGAGGGACTAGAATGAGAGACTAGAGAGAGAGACCAGAGAGAGACCAGAGAGAGACTAGAGAGAGACCAGAGAGAGGGACTAGAGAGAGAGACCAGAGAGAGACTAGAGAGAGAGGCCAGAGAGAGACCAGAGAGAGACTAGAGAGAGAGGCCAGAGAGAGGCCAGAGAAAGACCAGAGAGAGGCCAGAGAGACCAGAGAGAGACCAGAGAGAGACCAGAGAGAGACCAGAGAGAGACCAGAGAGAAAGACCAGAGAGAGAGACTAGAATGAGAGACTAGAGAGAGACCAGAGAGAGAGACTAGAGAGAGAGACTAGAGAGAGAGACCAGAGAGAGACCAGAGAGAGACCAGAGAGAGACCAGAGAGAGAGACCAGAGAGAGATCAGAGAGAGACCAGAGAGAGACCAGAGAGAGACCAGAGAGAGATCAGAGAGAGACCAGAGAGAGACCAGAGAGAGATCAGAGAGAGACCAGAGAGAGATCAGAGAGAGACCAGAGAGAGACCAGAGAGAGACCAGAGAGAGACCAGAGAGAGACCAGAGAGAGACCAGAGAGAGACCAGAGAAGGACCAGAGAAAAAAATCATCAAAATTCAGCAAACAAAATATATATTTGGGTATTTTTTAATTCACTGTGGTGGGTCAATTTGACACGACATCTGTTTAACAAAGTCCAGACGGGTCCGGTTCAGAACTCGATCGGTCCAAGTGTCGGCAAAGCCCAAATGACTCCGGGAAGATTCTGGATTCAAGTTTGAAGCTGCTCTGAATATCAACGTCCTCACGGTCACATCACCGCGGCAACGGCTGCAGCCTCTGATCCTGTCCGCTGCAGAGGCCCGGGCGGGGGCTGCTGGGAAATGGAGTTTGGATCGGAACCAAGGACTTCTGTGAATCCCCGAGTCCCCACTAACCTGGCTCTACACATGGAGCAGTTCCTCCTCCTGCCAAATGTGATGTTTCCATAGACTGCAGAACTTTAGTACAACATGTGTCCATACTTATACGTGTATTTGAGTGTGAACATGTATCCTATGTTCAAACAAGCTCAAGAAAGTCCTAAACGCACAATTTATTTCTCTAAACCGACATTTACTCGACAAAAACTTCATATTTTGATCACGTAGAATGTTCTTTCTAGTGAATAGTGAAACCCATGTCACAGTCTGGACCGGGTCTAGACCTGTCCTGAACCGCAGGCCTGAATACTAATCCATGCGGGGCACAATGTTCCTGGAATCCAAAATTAGACACAGCTTCTTCTCGCTCCCTGCAGTAACAAAAACACAGTGTCCGGATCCATTGAGGCACAGGTTGACGGTTCACAGTTAGTGCCTTGCCCAGAGGCATAAAACAATCTCTACTGTAAAGCCTGACTCCAATCTTACGTCTGATAGAAGTAAATTTGACTCATTTATTGATAGTTTTTTCAAGCTTTAGCTGCACTTTTTATATGTACGTTATAGCGGGTGTAGCACCTTGACTTCTCAGCAAAAAGGTTCTGAGTTCGAATCCCAGTTGGATCATCCTGTGGACCCACCACCTGCAGGAGGATCAGAGGGACTGGTGCTGAGAGAAGTGGATTGTCACCAGTCTAGTTCAGGATCAGTCTTGGACCAGTCTAAGACCAGTCCAGGACCAGTCTATTACCAGTCCAGGATCAGTCTAAGACCAGTCCAGGACCAGTCTATTACCAGTCCAGAATCAGTCTTGGACCATTATACTGCCAGTCCCAGATCAGTCTAGTCCAGGACCAGTCTAGAACCAGTCTTTTTGTTTATATGCCGCCTTTTCTCAGCGCTTAAAACTGTTAAAATGTTGAATTTCGAGAGTTATACACCGCATTTTTACTGAGACCCAGAAATTGATAGTTTGACAGTGTTGATGACTGCATGCGTGTGGATGGTTTTCCCACACTTGTCTTTTAGGCTGAATTTTATATCCACAATGTCGTTCCAAACCGGTCAACGATGAAATAAACCTCTGAGATTAACATTCTCGCTTCTTGCTTCAGAGACCTATTTCTGTCTTTGTGCTATCTTCCTGCCCTTCAACTCGTCCCCCCTCAGATCTCATGTTTAATGCTTGGCCTGGAGTCTCCTCTCTCAAACCCCTCTGCTGGTGAATAACCCAAAACGCCGAGTGAATGACAGGGAGTTGGACACAAAGCATCCTCTGTTCTGGTCTCCACAGAAACTCAGCGCGCCTCGGTGCACGGCTTTGTCCCCTGCTCCATACCCACTGCTCAACAAAAACACTTCCAAACTGCAGGCGATGGTGTGAGGGAGAGGGAGAAGTGTGAGAAGCTCGGGGCCCACAGACTTAACCTTTAGAGGGAACAGGCGTTTCTCTGCTCAAGAGTGGGAAAAGACTGGATTTTACAGGGGCAGGGCCTGGGAAGTGATGTCCTGAGGTGTTAGAGTTGGATGAGGAGGCCTGGACTGCACAGATGGACAAACAAGATGTGGTTAAATGTATCTTACAGACATACAACAAGATTGTATATTATGAAATGCAGTTTAGTCTTAGTTCTTAGTTATTTTAGTTAAAGTGCAGTTGCTCATTCATTCCATGTGCTTGACCTATTTTAGGGAATCCTGTTTTAAGATTTTTTTTTTTTTATTATTAAACAAACCCGCACTTAATTCAGGCATTCATTACATCTTATTTAATGATTTTATTTTTGGTATTTCGGGCATAATTAGAGCCTTAAGACTGGGGAAATTCCTCAAAAAGTTGCTTTAAGCAGGACTATAAAACGTAGTTATGTATGAATATTGTTTGCCTATTATTTTAGAATTTAACAAGGCTATCCTACATAATACGCCTAATTAAAAAATACATTTAGTGCTGCATTTTGGCCGTAGACTTGTTAAGCCACCGGTAAATTCCAATGAGATGGCGCCATCTGGTGGCCACTTACTTGCATTACATTGCACACGTTGCAGAACAGGTTTCATTTGGACCAGGATTTCACTTGACTGCTTTTGAAACCTGTTCTGCAATGGATCATTCCTGTAAAAGATCGGAGAAAAAACGAGTTGTACAGTAAACAAAACCCCCACAACTAGCTCTGAACTCTTATAAATGAACCAAACTATAAATCTGTAAGTGTCAACCCCTAAAAATAGACACTGCTAACCTTGTATTTAAATTATTATTTATTTCCCTATCTGTTATCACCGCTAGAGAGCAGTGTAAAGCGACCCCAAATCTTAGCGTTTGTCCTCAGCTTCCTTTACGAGCCCCACCCAAACCGGAAATGCTTTTAATATTAATAACAACATGGATTGAAACGTAATTAAAACAGAGTAGTGTCATCCTGTTTGTCTAATTATGTATATCCCAATGCTACAGAAGCACAAAATAACATTATCTTCAGAAATTAATCAGTTTTTAAAGATTATTTTATTTTGGAATAGTGACGCACCCCGGAAGTAGCGTCTACAATTGCTCAAACTTGTCAGCTCTGAAGGCTAAAAGCTAATAAACATCCGTGCACCGCTATAGCCCTGTTTACAGCCAAAAAAACAGTATTTTGTTGAGTTCTGCTCCCATTACACTGACAATATTTATCCAACACGTGCTTTTGGGAGCTGGTAGTTCTTTCAGCGACTGTCAGTCTTGGGAAAAGTCCAAATTGTGACATATTTTGTGTAGAGGAGTGAACAGGGCACAGCTAGCCGCAGTTAGCATCGGGAGCTAGGCGCAAACCAACAAGGATGATCGCGTTGATTAACAAGCTCCTGGACTGGTTCAAGGCTCTTTTCTGGAAGGAGGAGATGGAGCTGACCCTGGTGGGGCTGCAGTACTCGGGGAAGACCACCTTCGTGAACGTGATCGCGGTGGGTGGAGGCAGATGTTGTGTTGTTGGCTGCAGCTGGAAGGACGGCTTTGTGTTTTTAAAGAGCCTCGCGTGACCTCCGCACGAGACCAGTCACGGGGTTACCATGGAAACTATCATTCATATCATTGATCATAGCACGTGCTTGATAACGTTTACATGCAGAATAACACATGGTAGTACCTGTGTTTCTAATCTGCCTCCTTTAGCCCTGTGTTCACATCCTGTACCTGTGTTCACATCCTGTACCTGTGTTCACATCCTGTACCTGTGTTTCTAATCTGCCTCCTTTAGCCCTGTGTTCACATCCTGTACCTGTGTTTACATCCTGTACCTGTGTTTACATCCTGTACCTGTGTTTACATCCTGTACCTGTGTTAACATCCTGTACCTGTGTTTACATCCTGTACCTGTGTTTACATCCTGTACCTGTGTTTACATCCTGTACCTGTGTTTACATCCTGTACCTGTGTTCACATCCTGTACCTGTGTTCACATCCTGTACCTGTGTTTACATCCTGTACCTGTGTTTCTAATCTGCCTCCTATAGCCCTGTGTTCACATCCTGTACCTGTGTTTACATCCTGTACCTGTGTTTACATCCTGTACCTGTGTTTACATCCTGTACCAGTGTTTCTAATCTGCCTCCTATAGCCCTGTGTTTACATCCTGTACCTGTGTTTACATCCTGTACCTGTGTTTACATCCTGTACCTGTGTTTACATCCTGTACCTGTGTTTACATCCTGTACCTGTGTTTACATCCTGTACCTGTGTTTCTAATCTGCCTCCTTTAGCCCTGTGTTCACATCCTGTACCTGTGTTCACATCCTGTACCTGTGTTTACATCCTGTACCTGTGTTTACATCCTGTACCTGTGTTTACATCCTGTACCTGTGTTAACATCCTGTACCTGTGTTTACATCCTGTACCTGTGTTTACATCCTGTACCTGTGTTTACATCCTGTACCTGTGTTCACATCCTGTACCTGTGTTCACATCCTGTACCTGTGTTTACATCCTGTACCTGTGTTTCTAATCTGCCTCCTATAGCCCTGTGTTCACATCCTGTACCTGTGTTTACATCCTGTACCTGTGTTTACATCCTGTACCTGTGTTTACATCCTGTACCAGTGTTTCTAATCTGCCTCCTATAGCCCTGTGTTTACATCCTGTACCTGTGTTTACATCCTGTACCTGTGTTTACATCCTGTACCTGTGTTTACATCCTGTACCTGTGTTTACATCCTGTACCTGTGTTTCTAATCTGCCTCCTTTAGCCCTGTGTTCACATCCTGTACCAGTGTTTCTAATCTGCCTCCTATAGCCCTGTGTTTACATCCTGTACCTGTGTTTACATCCTGTACCTGTGTTTACATCCTGTACCTGTGTTTACATCCTGTACCTGTGTTTACATCCTGTACCTGTGTTTCTAATCTGCCTCCTTTAGCCCTGTGTTCACATCCTGTACCTGTGTTCACATCCTGTACCTGTGTTCACATCCTGTACCTGTGTTTACATCCTGTACCTGTGTTTACATCCTGTACCTGTGTTTACATCCTGTACCTGTGTTCACATCCTGTACCTGTGTTCACATCCTGTACCTGTGTTCACATCCTGTACCTGTGTTCACATCCTGTACCTGTGTTTACATCCTGTACCTGTGTTTACATCCTGTACCTGTGTTTCTAATCTGCCTCCTTTAGCCCTGTGTTCACATCCTGTACCTGTGTTTACATCCTGTACCTGTGTTCACATCCTGTACCTGTGTTTACATCCTGTACCTGTGTTTCTAATCTGCCTCCTTTAGCCCTGTGTTCACATCCTGTACCTGTGTTTACATCCTGTACCTGTGTTCACATCCTGTACCTGTGTTTACATCCTGTACCTGTGTTTACATCCTGTACCTGTGTTTACATCCTGTACCTGTGTTTACATCCTGTACCTGTGTTTACATCCTGTACCTGTGTTCACATCCTGTACCTGTGTTCACATCCTGTACCTGTGTTCACATCCTGTACCTGTGTTTACATCCTGTACCTGTGTTTACATCCTGTACCTGTGTTTCTAATCTGCCTCCTTTAGCCCTGTGTTCACATCCTGTACCTGTGTTTACATCCTGTACCTGTGTTCACATCCTGTACCTGTGTTTACATCCTGTACCTGTGTTTACATCCTGTACCTGTGTTTACATCCTGTACCTGTGTTCACATCCTGTACCTGTGTTTACATCCTGTACCTGTGTTTACATCCTGTACCTGTGTTTACATCCTGTACCTGTGTTTCTAATCTGCCTCCTTTAGCCCTGTGTTCACATCCTGTACCTGTGTTCACATCCTGTACCTGTGTTTACATCCTGTACCTGTGTTTACATCCTGTACCTGTGTTCACATCCTGTACCTGTGTTCACATCCTGTACCTGTGTTCACATCCTGTACCTGTGTTTACATCCTGTACCTGTGTTTCTAATCTGCCTCCTTTAGCCCTGTGTTCACATCCTGTACCTGTGTTTCTAATCTGCCTCCTATAGCCCTGTGTTTACATCCTGTACCTGTGTTTACATCCTGTACCTGTGTTTACATCCTGTACCTGTGTTTACATCCTGTACCTGTGTTTACATCCTGTACCTGTGTTTCTAATCTGCCTCCTTTAGCCCTGTGTTTACATCCTGTACCTGTGTTTACATCCTGTACCTGTGTTCACATCCTGTACCTGTGTTCACATCCTGTACCTGTGTTTCTAATCTGCCTCCTTTAGCCCTGTGTTCACATCCTGTACCTGTGTTCACATCCTGTACCTGTGTTTCTAATCTGCCTCCTTTAGCCCTGTGTTCACATCCTGTACCTGTGTTTACATCCTGTACCTGTGTTTCTAATCTGCCTCCTTTAGCCCTGTGTTCACATCCTGTACCTGTGTTTCTAATCTGCCTCCTATAGCCCTGTGTTTACATCCTGTACCTGTGTTTACATCCTGTACCTGTGTTTACATCCTGTACCTGTGTTTACATCCTGTACCTGTGTTTCTAATCTGCCTCCTTTAGCCCTGTGTTTACATCCTGTACCTGTGTTTACATCCTGTACCTGTGTTCACATCCTGTACCTGTGTTCACATCCTGTACCTGTGTTTCTAATCTGCCTCCTTTAGCCCTGTGTTTACATCCTGTACCTGTGTTCACATCCTGTACCTGTGTTTACATCCTGTACCTGTGTTTACATCCTGTACCTGTGTTTCTAATCTGCCTCCTATAGCCCTGTGTTCACATCCTGTACCTGTGTTCACATCCTGTACCTGTGTTTACATCCTGTACCTGTGTTCACATCCTGTACCTGTGTTTACATCCTGTACCTGTGTTCACATCCTGTACCTGTGTTTACATCCTGTACCTGTGTTTACATCCTGTACCTGTGTTCACATCCTGTACCTGTGTTCACATCCTGTACCTGTGTTTCTAATCTGCCTCCTTTAGCCCTGTGTTCACATCCTGTACCTGTGTTAACATCCTGTACCTGTGTTCACATCCTGTACCTGTGTTTACATCCTGTACCTGTGTTTCTAATCTGCCTCCTTTAGCCCTGTGTTCACATCCTGTACCTGTGTTTACATCCTGTACCTGTGTTTACATCCTGTACCTGTGTTTCTAATCTGCCTCCTTTAGCCCTGTGTTCACATCCTGTACCTGTGTTTACATCCTGTACCTGTGTTTACATCCTGTACCTGTGTTTACATCCTGTACCTGTGTTTACATCCTGTACCTGTGTTTACATCCTGTACCTGTGTTTACATCCTGTACCTGTGTTTACATCCTGTACCTGTGTTTACATCCTGTACCTGTGTTTACATCCTGTACCTGTGTTTCTAATCTGCCTCCTATAGCCCTGTGTTCACATCCTGTACCTGTGTTTCTAATCTGCCTCCTATAGCCCTGTGTTCACATCCTGTACCTGTGTTCACATCCTGTACCTGTGTTTACATCCTGTACCTGTGTTTCTAATCTGCCTCCTATAGCCCTGTGTTCACATCCTGTACCTGTGTTCACATCCTGTACCTGTGTTTCTAATCTGCCTCCTATAGCCCTGTGTTCACATCCTGTACCTGTGTTCACATCCTGTACCTGTGTTTACATCCTGTACCTGTGTTCACATCCTGTACCTGTGTTTACATCCTGTACCTGTGTTTACATCCTGTACCTGTGTTTCTAATCTGCCTCCTATAGCCCTGTGTTTACATCCTGTACCTGTGTTTACATCCTGTACCTGTGTTTCTAATCTGCCTCCTTTAGCCCTGTGTTCACATCCTGTACCTGTGTTCACATCCTGTACCTGTGTTCACATCCTGTACCTGTGTTTACATCCTGTACCTGTGTTTCTAATCTGCCTCCTATAGCCCTGTGTTTACATCCTGTACCTGTGTTTACATCCTGTACCTGTGTTTACATCCTGTACCTGTGTTTCTAATCTACCTCCTATAGCCCTGTGTTTACATCCTGTACCTGTGTTTACATCCTGTACCTGTGTTTACATCCTGTACCTGTGTTCACATCCTGTACCTGTGTTTACATCCTGTACCTGTGTTTCTAATCTACCTCCTATAGCCCTGTGTTTACATCCTGTACCTGTGTTCACATCCTGTACCTGTGTTTACATCCTGTACCTGTGTTTACATCCTGTACCTGTGTTTCTAATCTGCCTCCTATAGCCCTGTGTTTACATCCTGTACCTGTGTTTACATCCTGTACCTGTGTTCACATCCTGTACCTGTGCTTCTAACCTATAGCCCTGTGCTAGCTAACATCCTGTACCTGTGCTTCTAACCTATAGCCCTGTGCTAGCTAACATCCTGTACCTGTGCTTCTAACCTATAGCCCTGTGTTTACATCCTGTACCTGTGCTTCTAACCTATAGCCCTGTGCTAGCTAACATCCTGTACCTGTGCTTCTAACCTATAGCCCTGTGCTAGCTAACATCCTGTACCTGTGCTTCTAACCTATAGCCCTGTGCTAGCTAACATCCTGTACCTGTGCTTCTAACCTATAGCCCTGTGCTTTAACATCCTGTACCTGTGCTTCTAACCTATAGCCCTGTGCTAGCTAACATCCTGTACCTGTGCTTCTAACCTATAGCCCTGTGCTAGCTAACATCCTGTACCTGTGCTTCTAACCTATAGCCCTGTGCTAGCTAACATCCTGTACCTGTGCTTCTAACCTATAGCCCTGTGCTAGCTAACATCCTGTACCTGTGCTTCTAACCTATAGCCCTGTGCTAGCTAACATCCTGTACCTGTGCTTCTAACCTTTAGCCCTGTGCTAGCTAACATCCTGTACCTGTGCTTCTAACCTATAGCCCTGTGCTAGCTAACATCCTGTACCTGTGCTTCTAACCTATAGCCCTGTGCTAGCTAACATCCTGTACCTGTGCTTCTAACCTATAGCCCTGTGCTAGCTAACATCCTGTACCTGTGCTTCTAACCTATAGCCCTGTGTTTACATCCTGTACCTGTGCTTCTAACCTATAGCCCTGTGCTAGCTAACATCCTGTACCTGTGCTTCTAACCTATAGCCCTGTGCTAGCTAACATCCTGTACCTGTGCTTCTAACCTATAGCCCTGTGCTAGCTAACATCCTGTACCTGTGCTTCTAACCTATAGCCCTGTGCTAGCTAACATCCTGTACCTGTGCTTCTAACCTTTAGCCCTGTGCTAGCCAACATCCTGCTCTAGTATCACATGACATTAACTTAACATGTTAATAGCCATATCCACACAGGAGTAGCTTTCCCTGTGGACCTCTGTGATCCAGCCCATCCATCTATGTCTGTAAACTATATGTTCACTGACCTTTAGTAATAACAGACACATAACTATATATAGTAACATAACTATAGCGTCTTATAGTTTGTTACTAAAAGCTTCAAAACTGCGAGCCTCAGAATCACTGACATGGGTTAGTGTTTTCACTGTCTGTGTTTATTTAGAATTATTATTTATTTATTTATTTATTGTTGATTCGTTTGGGACATTTATTAACCTCGTCACGGCTCGGTCTGTGCGTTAAGGCTCGGTCTGTGCGTTAAGGCTCGGTCTGTGCGTTAAGGCTCGGTCTGTGCGTTAAGGCTCGGTCTGTGCATTAAGGCTCGGTCTGTACGTTAAGGCTCGGTCTGTGCATTAAGGCTCGGTCTGTACATTAAGGCTCGGTCTGTACGTTAAGGCTCGGTCTGTACGTTAAGGCTCGGTCTGTGCATTAAGGCTCGGTCTGTACGTTAAGGCTCGGTCTGTACGTTAAGGCTCGGTCTGTGCATTAAGGCTCGGTCTGTGCGTTAAGGCTCGGTCTGTGCATTAAGGCTCGGTCTGTACGTTAAGGCTCGGTCTGTACATTAAGGCTCGGTCTGTGCGTTAAGGCTCGGTCTGTGCATTAAGGCTCGGTCTGTACGTTAAGGCTCGGTCTGTACATTAAGGCTCGGTCTGTGCATTAAGGCTCGGTCTGTGCATTAAGGCTCGGTCTGTGCGTTAAGGCTCGGTCTGTGCGTTAAGGCTCGGTCTGTGCGTTAAGGCTCGGTCTGTACGTTAAGGCTCGGTCTGTACATTAAGGCTCGGTCTGTGCGTTAAGGCTCGGTCTGTGCGTTAAGGCTCGGTCTGTGCATTAAGGCTCGGTCTGTACGTTAAGGCTCGGTCTGTGCATTAAGGCTCGGTCTGTGCATTAAGGCTCGGTCTGTGCATTAAGGCTCGGTCTGTGCGTTAAGGCTCGGTCTGTGCGTTAAGGCTCGGTCTGTACATTAAGGCTCGGTCTGTGCATTAAGGCTCGGTCTGTGCATTAAGGCTCGGTCTGTGCATTAAGGCTCGGTCTGTGCATTAAGGCTCGGTCTGTGCATTAAGGCTCGGTCTGTACGTTAAGGCTCGGTCTGTGCATTAAGGCTCGGTCTGTGCATTAAGGCTCGGTCTGTGCATTAAGGCTCGGTCTGTACATTAAGGCTCGGTCTGTACATTAAGGCTCGGTCTGTGCATTAAGGCTCGGTCTGTGCATTAAGGCTCGGTCTGTGCATTAAGGCTCGGTCTGTACATTAAGGCTCGGTCTGTACGTTAAGGCTCGGTCTGTGCGTTAAGGCTCGGTCTGTGCGTTAAGGCTCGGTCTGTACGTTAAGGCTCGGTCTGTACGTTAAGGCTCGGTCTGTACATTAAGGCTCGGTCTGTACGTTAAGGCTCGGTCTGTACGTTAAGGCTCGGTCTGTGCATTAAGGCTCGGTCTGTACGTTAAGGCTCGGTCTGTACGTTAAGGCTCGGTCTGTACGTTAAGGCTCGGTCTGTACATTAAGGCTCGGTCTGTACGTTAAGGCTCGGTCTGTACATTAAGGCTCGGTCTGTACATTAAGGCTCGGTCTGTACATTAAGGCTCGGTCTGTGCATTAAGGCTCGGTCTGTACGTTAAGGCTCGGTCTGTGCATTAAGGCTCGATCTGTACATTAAGGCTCGGTCTGTGCATTAAGGCTCTGTCTGTGCATTAAGGCTCGGTCTGTGCATTAAGGCTCGATCTGTACATTAAGGCTCGGTCTGTGCATTAAGGCTCGATCTGTACATTAAGGCTCGGTCTGTGCATTAAGGCTCGGTCTGTACATTAAGGCTCGGTCTGTGCGTTAAGGCTCGATCTGTGCGTTAAGGCTCGGTCTGTACATTAAGGCTCGGTCTGTGCGTTAAGGCTCGGTCTGTGCGTTAAGGCTCGGTCTGTACATTAAGGCTCGGTCTGTGCATTAGGGCTCGGTCTGTACGTTAAGGCTCGGTCTGTACGTTAAGGCTCGGTCTGTACATTAAGGCTCGATCTGTACATTAAGGCTCGGTCTGTGCGTTAAGGCTCGGTCTGTGCGTTAAGGCTCGGTCTGTGCATTAAGGCTCGGTCTGTGCATTAAGGCTCGGTCTGTACGTTAAGGCTCGGTCTGTACGTTAAGGCTCGGTCTGTGCGTTAAGGCTCGGTCTGTACATTAAGGCTCGGTCTGTACATTAAGGCTCGGTCTGTACATTAAGGCTCGGTCTGTGCATTAAGGCTCGGTCTGTACATTAAGGCTCGGTCTGTACATTAAGGCTCGGTCTGTACATTAAGGCTCGGTCTGTGCATTAAGGCTCGGTCTGTACATTAAGGCTCGGTCTGTGCATTAAGGCTCGGTCTGTACGTTAAGGCTCGGTCTGTACGTTAAGGCTCGGTCTGTGCATTAAGGCTCGATCTGTGCATTAAGGCTCGATCTGTGCGTTAAGGCTCGGTCTGTGCGTTAAGGCTCGGTCTGTACATTAAGGCTCGGTCTGTACATTAAGGCTCTGTCTGTGCATTAAGGCTCGGTCTGTGCGTTAAGGCTCGGTCTGTGCATTAAGGCTCGGTCTGTGCATTAAGGCTCGATCTGTACATTAAGGCTCGGTCTGTACATTAAGGCTCGGTCTGTACATTAAGGCTCGGTCTGTACATTAAGGCTCGATCTGTACATTAAGGCTCGGTCTGTGCGTTAAGGCTCGGTCTGTACGTTAAGGCTCGGTCTGTACATTAAGGCTCGGTCTGTACGTTAAGGCTCGGTCTGTGCGTTAAGGCTCGGTCTGTACGTTAAGGCTCGGTCTGTGCGTTAAGGCTCGGTCTGTGCATTAAGGCTCGGTCTGTACGTTAAGGCTCGGTCTGTGCATTAAGGCTCGGTCTGTGCATTAAGGCTCGGTCTGTGCATTAAGGCTCGGTCTGTACGTTAAGGCTCGGTCTGTGCATTAAGGCTCGGTCTGTGCGTTAAGGCTCGGTCTGTGCGTTAAGGCTCGGTCTGTGCATTAAGGCTCGGTCTGTGCGTTAAGGCTCGGTCTGTACGTTAAGGCCGCGGTCTGATATTTCTCTGTACAGACCTCGCGCTCGGTTAATAAGCCGTTAGTATTGGATTTGTTAAATATCGGGGAGTTTTCAGGGTTCACAGACTGGTTAAGTCCTGGCTCTTCATCAGTCATGGACCAGCTCTTTTCTTCTTGTTATACTGAACGCTGAGGGCCGCTTTTTAATAATTGTTCCTCTTTGATCTTTATTTTATTTTAAGTTTAACTCAGTAATTCTGTGAAGCAAAAGCCAAACAATATTTTTGATCATGTTATAATAAAAATAAAAATAAACATTTTAAAGTAATACTGGTTGCAAAATTTTGAATGCCTTGAAAATATTAGAAAAAATTGGATCGTATCGGATCGGTATCGGCAAAACAATATTTAAGAATATCGGAATCGGATCGGATTACAAAAAATCTGGATCGGTACATCCCTACTCCAGATTACAGCGTTGGGCTACTGCGTATGTTTTTAGTGGTAGGGGAAACCGGAGCACCTGGAGGAAACCGGGGCACCTGGAGGAAACCTACGCGAACACGGGGAGAACATGCAAACTGCCGCCCAATTTTACTTTAACAAGATCTGAGACGTCCTCCGAGATTATCCCAAATTACCAGAGGTCCACGGGTCATGCTAATCCCGTGTGAATGGGGATTATGATTTATTTAATCTTTAATCTAGAATTGAAAACTTTTTCGTAACTGGTTTTGTTTGTGATTTTCAGTCCGGTCAGTTCAGCGAAGACATGATCCCCACAGTTGGCTTCAATATGCGCAAGATCACCAAAGGAAACGTGACCATCAAGGTGCAATATTCTGTCTTTATGGTCTGTCTGTGACCATGTGGCTCTGAACACACACACACAGGGAGAGAGACCAGAGGGAGAGAGACCAGGGAGAGGGAGAGACCAGGGAGAGGGAGAGACCAGGAAGAGACCAGAGAGAGAGAGACCAGAGAGAGGGAGAGACCAGGGAGAGACCAGGGAGAGACCAGAGAGAGGGAAAGACCAGAGAGAGGGAAAGACCAGAGAGAGGGAGACCAGAGAGAGGGAGACCAGAGAGAGAGAGACCAGAGAGAGAAAGACCAGAGAGACCAGAGAGAGAGAGAGACCAGAGAGAGAGAGAGACCAGAGAGAGAGAGAGACACCAGAGAGAGACACCAGAGAGGAGAGAGACCAGAGAGGAGAGACCAGAGAGAGAGAGACCAGAGAGAGAGAGACCAGAGAGAGAGAGACCAGAGAGCGAGAGAGACTAGAGAGTGAGACACCAGAGAGACCAGAGACCAACTCCCGCTCAAACTCCTTTTTGTCCCTTATCAGCCACTGTACAATTTCAAAATGGCGCATGGACACAGAGAGTCCTCCAGCCTCATGGACATTAGGCTTAAATATTCTTAAAAAGGTCACATTTGTTTTTGGTTAATATGTTTTTTTTCATTTGGAGCAACTGTAAAAATTAGTACCTATAAAACCAGTCAAATAATCTTACATTAATTTTTTTTTTTTTTTTTTGTAAATAAATCTTTGCGTTATTAAACTTTTTAAAATTAATTTCCATGTTTTGTGTGACAGTTGTGGGACATTGGAGGCCAGCCCCGGTTCAGGTCCATGTGGGAGCGATACTGCCGAGGAGTCAGTGCCATTGTGTGAGTGCTCCCATAAAATACCAACGTTTAGACCAAAGTTCAGATATTTGCTCATGAACCGAGTATTTCCCGCAGATACATGGTCGATGCCGCGGACCCAGAGAAGATCGAAGCCTCAAAGAATGAACTCCACAACCTCCTGGACAAACCACAGCTGCAGGGAATTCCTGTATGTGTTAAAATAACTACATTTAAATAATCCGTGTTTAGATTTCCAAAACACAGAAATGACTCAGTATTTTATTCTTTCATTTCCTGTTTAATGTCTTAAATCAGGGGTGGCAAAGTCGAGGTCCGGGGGCTAGATCCGGCCCGGGAATGAATGATCTCGGCCCCGGGATGATTTTTGATTAGTTTTAGAACCAGCCACACAGAGACATAAGAAAAGAAAAATATTGGATTATTTATTTAATGTTCAGGACGTATTTTCTTTTTGAAGGAAGTTCTTGAGTTAAAAAAAAAATTCAAACATTTTGGATTATTTATTTTATTTTAATTTTATTTATTTTATTTATTTTATTTATTTTATTTATTTTATTTATTTTATTTATTTTATTTTTATTTTATTTATTTTATTTATGTATTTATTTTTATTTGTTGAATTTTTTTTTTTTTTTATAGTTTTAATGTTTTTTTTTTAAATTCATTTTATTCATTTTATGTATTTTTTTATTATTATATTATAGATTATTATAGAGATTTTTCATTAAATAAAACGCGGCCCACTGTGTTCGGTCACGGTTCAGTAGTTTTCATGCATCATTTTAATATATTTTCATAAACTTTGAACCAGTCCCGGCCTCAGCTTTTAGCAAATATGTTTTTTTAACCTCTGATGTTTTTGACTTTGACGTCCCTGTGCTTAGCGGATGTCTTTGACTTTGGCGTCCCTGTGCTAAGCGGATTTCTTTGACTTTGAGGTCCCTGTGCTAAGCGGATGTCTTTGACTTTGACGTCCCTGTGCTAAGCGGATGTCTTTGACTTTGGCGTCCCTGTGCTGACTTTGGCGTCCCTGTGCTTAGCGGATGTCTTTGACTTTGACGTCCCTGTGCTGACTTTGGCGTCCCTTTGCTTAGCGGATGTCTTTGACTTTGGCGTCCCTGTGCTAAGCGGATGTCTTTGACTTTGACGTCCCTGTGCTAAGCGGGTGTCTTTGACTTTGACGTCCCTGTGCTAAGCGGGTGTCTTTGACTTTGACGTCCCTGTGCTTAGCGGATGTCTTTGACTTTGACGTCCCTGTGCTAAGCGGATGTCCTTGACTTTGACGTCCCTGTGCTTAGCGGATGTCTTTGACTTTGGCGTCCCTGTGCTAAGCGGATGTCTTTGACTTTGACGTCCCTGTGCTTAGCGGATGTCTTTGACTTTGACGTCCCTGTGCTGACTTTGGCGTCCCTGTGCTTAGCGGATGTCTTTGACTTTGACGTCCCTGTGCTTAGCGGATGTCTTTGACTTTGACGTCCCTGTGCTGACTTTGGCGTCCCTGTGCTTAGCGGATGTCTTTGACTTTGACGTCCCTGTGCTTAGCGGATGTCTTTGACTTTGACGTCCCTGTGCTAAGCGGATGTCCTTGACTTTGACGTCCCTGTGCTTAGCGGATGTCTTTGACTTTGGCGTCCCTGTGCTAAGCCGATGTCTTTTGACTTTGACGTCCCTGTGCTTAGCGGATGTCTTTGACTTTGGCGTCCCTGTGCTAAGCCGATGTCTTTGACTTTGACGTCCCTGTGCTTAGCGGATGTCTTTGACTTTGGCGTCCCTGTGCTAAGCCGATGCCTTTGACTTTGACGTCCCTGTGCTAAGCCGATGCCTTTGACTTTGACGTCCCTGTGCTTAGCGGATGTCTTTGACTTTGGCGTCCCTGTGCTAAGCGGATGTCTTTGACTTTGGCGTCCCTGTGCTAAGCGGATGTCTTTGACTTTGGCGTCCCTGTGCTAAGCGGATGTCTTTGACTTTGGCGTCCCTGTGCTAAGCGGATGTCTTTGACTTTGGCGTCCCTGTGCTAAGCGGATGTCTTTGACTTTGGCGTCCCTGTGCTAAGCGGATGTCTTTGACTTTGGCGTCCCTGTGCTAAGCGGATGTCTTTGACTTTGGCGTCCCTGTGCTAAGCGGATGTCTTTGACTTTGGCGTCCCTGTGCTAAGCGGATGGTGTTTCCCGCAGGTGTTGGTTCTGGGGAATAAGCGGGACTTGCCGGGAGCCCTGGATGAGAAGGAGCTGATCGAGAGGATGTAACTATGACACAGAACCATGACCCTGAAGAACCTGCAGGAAGGTTCTAACCCAGTCTGCTCCACAGGAACCTGTCTGCCATCCAGGACCGCGAGATCTGCTGCTACTCCATCTCCTGCAAAGAGAAAGATAATATCGGTACGTGGCACTGTTTTTAATCATAAGATATCCACTAATGTTTAATACGACACAGAACAAACAGAGACGGGTTTCTGGGTTGTAGTTTTTGTGGGACTTTTTGGTTTCGTTTTGGACTAGTTCTGCTTCACTTGTGGATGAATAAATACCAGAGAAGTGGAATAACCTGTATTGGTTCCATGCCACGCCAAGATTTTATTTCTCCATTCCATTCATATTTTTCAGTGTGAGTTGGCATCGCTGAAGATCGGTGTCGGCTGATATTTGTCTTATTAATTACTGTAGTGGCCAACCTGTACCTGTGCTACTCAGATGTTAAAACAGGCAATATGTAAGATTTTCATATCAAATCATCATTAAAAGGCCCTAATCTGTCATCATTAAAGGGCCCTAATCTGTCATCATTAAAGGGCGCTAATCTGTTCTCATTAAAGGGCCCTAATCTGTCATCATTAAAGGGCCCTAATCTGTCATCATTAAAGGGCCCTAATCTGTTCTCATTAAAGGGCCCTAATATGTCGTCATTAAAGGGCCCTAATCTTTCATCATTAAAGGGCCCTAATCTGTTCTCATTAAAGGGCCCTAATCTGTCATCATTAAAGGGCCCTAATCTGTCATCATTAAAGGGCCCTAATCTGTTCTCATTAAAGGGCCCTAATCTGTCATCATTAAAGGGCCCTAATCTGTCATCATTACAGGGCCCTAATCTGTTCTCATTAAAGGGCCCTAATCTGTCATCATTGAAGGACCCTAATTAACTACTGTAGTGGCCAACCTGTACCTGTGCTGCTGAGATGTTAACTACTGTAGTGGCCAACATGTACCTGTGCTACTGAGATGTTAACTACTGTAGTGGCCAACCTGTACCTGTGCTGCTGAGATGTTAACTACTGTAGTGGCCAACCTGTACCTGTGCTGCTGAGATGTTAACTACTGTAGTGGCCAACATGTACCTGTGCTACTGAGATGTTAACTACTGTAGTGGCCAACCTGTACCTGTGCTACTGAGATGTTAACTACTGTAGTGGCCAACATGTACCTGTGCTGCTGAGATGTTAACTACTGTAGTGGCCAACATGTACCTGTGCTGCTGAGATGTTAACTACTGTAGTGGCCAACCTGTACCTGTGCTACTGAGATGTTAACTACTGTAGTGGCCAACATGTACCTGTGCTGCTGAGATGTTAACTACTGTAGTGGCCAACATGTACCTGTGCTGCTGAGATGTTAACTACTGTAGTGGCCAACATGTACCTGTGCTGCTGAGATGTTAACTACTGTAGTGGCCAACCTGTACCTGTGCTACTGAGATGTTAACTACTGTAGTGGCCAACATGTACCTGTGCTGCTGAGATGTTAACTACTGTAGTGGCCCCAACTTCAAAACAAGGCCCATGCTTCCTCTTGGCACAATGATTAACACACAACCCCCTTATAACATCACAAACCTCATATTGTCTGGTGTAGAAGAACTTAGCCTGGTCTTACCGCACCATGGTACTCATTTCATTCTGTACTAAGGTCTGGATTTGCTCCATTGACTCCGTTAACAGGTGGGAGGGGCTAACTCCTTTTGCAGATTGAAACCATTGGATCTGAGTTTACTGTGACGTTTGTAATGAGCCCGAGTGAGTCGTTAGCATTTAGCCTAGCTTTAGGCTACATGCTACATAATCATGGACCAGAGTTTACACATGGTAAGACCAGACGTACATGTAGGAAATGATCATGGACCATAGTTTACACATGGTAAGCCCAGACGTACATGTAGGAAATGATCATGGACCAGAGTTTACACATGGTAAGACCAGACGTACATGTAGGAAATGACCATGGACCAGAGTTTACACATGGTACGACCCAGACATGTCCAGAGCAGTAGTGTCTCTGGTGTTATTGATAATACAGTGTTGTTGTGTCCACAGACATCACTCTGCAGTGGCTGATCCAACACTCCAGGACCAAGAGGACTTCCTGAGACTCTCTTCTTCTTCTTCTCTCCTTTCCTCAGTGCCCTCCATATTATTCCCACCCTGATCATGTGCCACCAGTCACCGCTATGAATTCAAATCCCCAAAAAATAGCTCTGATTTCGTGGCTGATTTGTACTTTGTTTTTATGGAATTAAAACCCCGCCCCCATCGCTTTTAGACCCAGAGGAGTTTTAGGTAATCTCAGCGTCGTTCTGGATTAGGCTGCAGTGTCGAAGGGTATTAAAACAAGACGGCAGAGGTCGAAATGTTTCCCAAATTATCCCAGCTTTGAATGGGCGTTGATACTACTGGAGGGCACAGAACCCCCCTTGTCCTGTCTGGTCCATCCTCATCCCTTCTTCTTGCCTTTCTTCCTCGCTTTTGCTTTATCTTGGCTTTCCGCCCGGTCGTCTGCGCACATGGCCAAATCTTCAGTGTTTTGTAACAGAGAATTAAGGAACAAAAATGCTAAAAAGGTCCTTATTTGCCTCCTCTGTCTGACTTTTACAAACATCTTAGGGCAGGGGTGTCGAACTCATTTTGGTCAAGGCCAAATTTAAAAACATAACGGTTGCTTGGCGCCAGAAGTACAGCACAACAGTTTTTTTTTTTTACCCAACGTGATTTCATCTTCTGACAAATTAGTTGTATTTGACATGAGTTTGGACCTTTTCTAGGCCAAATATCAAGATTTTTAGTCAATAATTTTAGAACATACAGTTAAAATACGCCGTAGTATTTCATTACCATCAATGCTGCAAGTGAATGTAATAATGTTAATTGAAAAATCATTTCCGGGGCCACAGAAAATGGTCTTGCGGGCCGGATTTGGCTCTTGGGCCTGAGTTTGACATGCCTGTCTTAGGGTCTTCATGAAAACAAAACGGTATAAAAGCAGTGTAAGTGCAGATTTTCCCACATTTCTCTCGTCCCCTTCTTCTTCTTCTGGATGTCTCCTTTTTATTGTTATGTTTTTGTAAAATATTAATGATCAAATCCTAATAATGTTAATACGAAACATAACCCATTGTCCAGGCTTCGTTCTGATTGACGCAGTGCCCCCTACAGTGCGACCCGGTGAACTGCAGGGGGAGCTTTGGTTTTAATAATGACTTTACTGTTGAAGATTCGTTTTTTTATGATTTGTAATTTTTGTACATTTTGTTAATTTTTGGTTGGGGCTCGTTCTTCTCTCCTTCGCACTCGTGATTGGCCCAAACTCACTTCCTGTCTCTGATCTGAGCTTAATCCTGTTCAAATCCATGTTAATAATGTTCTGCTAATGTTAATAACTGAAGGTGAGAAGGACGGTCTCTGATAAAGTCGTCATGTTTTTATTTAAATATATTTGCTTTGTGTTAAAAAAATGAATAAAAGTGAACTGGATTAAACTGTTATTTGTTGATTGTATTCAACTAAAAAGACAGATTATATTAAAGAACCTTTATTCGGTTTTGTGCTAGCCTTGCGTCAAAATTACACACTACAATAATATAGAATTACTCTATGTATTTTTCTGAATTTTGCTGATTTTTCCTACAAAGGAAAAGGTACAGATTTCTCTTGCTAATGTCTTTGACCTGGTTCTGCAAACACAAAATTAGTCCAAATTAGGGTCTAAAAGGGCCTATTTTCAATCACTGGGGTTAACTTAAATACCGCCACCGTGACTAAAAGAATAAAAACACTAAATTAAGGTCTAAATGATTATCTCTCTCTCTCTCTATCTCTCTATCTCTCTATCTCTCTCTATCTCTCTCTATCTATCTATCTATCTATAAATATATATATATAGATATAGAGATATAGAGATATATATATATATTTTTTTTAAGCTTCATTTAACCAGGAAAAATCCCATTGAGATTCAGAAACCTATTTTTCAAGGGAGTCTGGGCCAAAGTGACACAAACACAACAGACAGATTTAATGACATTACAAATGACAGGTACAGACTACACAACTCAAGTAAAACTATTACAGGTGATTGAGGCCGTCCCGAAAACTCTGAGTTTGGATTTAAAAGCATTCATGGACAAAAACTCGGTCTCCTTCCGGTCTCGCTGCAGCTTGTTGAAGAAGCTGCAGGACAAAGGTTCTTTTTCCCAACTCTGTGCTCCTCTGTGAGAGTCATGTACAGAGGTCAGAGGGCATGAGTCCCAGAGGAGCCTTGGAAATGAAAGTGTACCATTGACACTGCCCCCGAGTGGACAGGGAGAGTACCGCTCACAGTGACATGTCAGAGCGCTACAGTTTGTGATGATGAAAGTATGCACTGAAGATTAGCAATAAACGCTAATGTCAATTTTAAGATTAAGAGATCCTGTATTTGTCCCACATTGGGGAAATTTCAGTGTTGCATCACAAGTTTTAGAACAGTAGAAAAAAGTGAACAATAGCTATACTAATTAAAATAAATAAAATTAAATATGTAACTATTTCTTGCACAGCTGCCTATGGATTATATATGTAAATAACACCAATAAGACAGTATATTCACATTTTTGAGTTACAATTGTGAGACATAAGACTACAGTGATCATTCATGAATATCAGAGGGCCAGCGGTGTTCGTTGTACAGTCTGACTGCAGCAGAGGATGGGTGGATGTGAGCAGTTGTAGTTCTGTGACTGACTGGAACCTGATCCGTCTCTCTCAGACCTGTCATTTGCTCTGAACATAAACAAAGGCACCAGGAGCCGCGGTGCATGCTGGGAGCTCAGGTGTGACTCTCTGATCATTTCCTTCTTCTGTGGCTTGAGTCAGGAGGAGACTGTAACCGGAGAGACGCGCAGTGGACATCTGGACCTGTCTGTGGAGAGAGACTGGATAATACTTAAAGAGAACGTTTAGATTCTACACAAACAGACATGTATGTGTTTATTATCGGACTGTGAAGAGAGACTGTGGGGCCGTGTGCTGGGGATGTGCAGAAGGTTTCCACATTCAGCCGGGACTGGAACTGGATTTCAACTTTAAAAATGGTCGAATTGGAAACAGGGCAGAAGTTTAAACTCGAGGAGGTGAGTTTTGACGCCATCTGTGACACAGCCGTGCGCGTGGCAGGTGCGCATGGCCGTGACAGGTGCAGGACGTAAGTGACGTAACGAGAGCGTAGACAAAAGACTTGAGTCACAGACTGGTTTGGTTGTGGTTCACTTTCACACAATTATATGGAAACTCTAGTGGCCTTAAGTTTAAGGCACAGAGGAGGATTTTCCAACGTTTTAGGAAAGAACCGCCACTTTCTGAACGTAACTTTCTGGTCCTATTTGACAAGAACGTATCACCAGAAGGATTAATATTAATATTAATAATAAAATAATAATAATAATAATAATAATAATAATGCATACTGTTGTATAAATTAGTCACATGTTCTATAGTAACTGTTGTTTACATTAGTCACATGTTCTATAGTAACTGTTGTTTACATTAGTCACATGTTCTATAGTAACTGTTGTTTACATTAGTCACATGTTCTATAGTAACTGTTGTTTACATTAGTCACATGTTCTATAGTAACTGTTGTATACATTAGTCACATGTTCTATAGTAACTGTTGTATACATTAGTCACATGTTCTATAGTAACTGTTGTATACATTAGTCACATGTTCTATAGTAACTGTTGTTTACATTAGTCACATGTTCTATAGTAACTGTTGTATACATTAGTCACATGTTCTATAGTAACTGTTGTTTACATTAGTCACATGTTCTATAGTAACTGTTGTATACATTAGTCACATGTTCTATAGTAACTGTTGTTTACATTAGTCACATGTTCTATAGTAACTGTTGTGTACATGAGTCACATGTTCTATAGTAACTGTTGTATACATTAGTCACATGTTCTATAGTAACTGTTGTATACATTAGTCACATGTTCTATAGTAACTGTTGTATACATTAGTCACATGTTCTATAGTAACTGTTGTATACATTAGTCACATGTTCTATAGTGACTGTTACATTAGTCACATGTTCTATAGTAACTGTTGTATACATTAGTCACATGTTCTATAGTAACTGTTACATTAGTCACATGTTCTATAGTAACTGTTGTATACATTAGTCACATGTTCTATAGTAACTGTTGTGTACATTAGTCACATGTTCTATAGTAACTGTTACATTAGTCACATGTTCTATAGTAACTGTTGTATACATTAGTCACATGTTCTATAGTAACTGTTGTATACATTAGTCACATGTTCTATAGTAACTGTTGTATACATTAGTCACATGTTCTATAGTAACTGTTGTATACATTAGTCACATGTTCTATAGTAACTGTTGTATACATTAGTCACATGTTCTATAGTAACTGTTGTGTACATGAGTCACATGTTCTATAGTAACTGTTGTATACATGAGTCACATGTTCTATAGTAACTGTTACATTAGTCACATGTTCTATAGTAACTGTTACATTAGTCACATGTTCTATAGTAACTGTTGTATACATTAGTCACATGTTCTATAGTAACTGTTGTATACATGAGTCACATGTTCTATAGTAACTGTTGTATACATTAGTCACATGTTCTATAGTAACTGTTGTATACATTAGTCACATGTTCTATAGTAACTGTTACATTAGTCACATGTTCTATAGTAACTGTTACATTAGTCACATGTTCTATAGTAACTGTTGTGTACATGAGTCACATGTTCTATAGTAACTGTTGTATACATTAGTCACATGTTCTATAGTAACTGTTGTATACATTAGTCACATGTTCTATAGTAACTGTTGTATACATTAGTCACATGTTCTATAGTAACTGTTGTATACATTAGTCACATGTTCTATAGTAACTGTTGTATACATTAGTCACATGTTCTATAGTAACTGTTACATTAGTCACATGTTCTATAGTAACTGTTGTATACATAAGTCACATGTTCTATAGTAACTGTTGTATACATTACTCACATGTTCTATAGTAAGTGTTGTATACATTAGTCACATGTTCTATAGTAACTGTTGTATACATTAGTCACATGTTCTATAGTAACTGTTGTTTACATTAGTCACATGTTCTATAGTAACTGTTGTATACATTAGTCACATGTTCTATAGTAACTGTTGTACCAAACACCAACAGGCTCATACTAGTATTATAACATAGTGGAAGTAATTGACTACGCTGTAATTAAACTGTGTTTTGGACCCACTGCAGCATGTGTTGATAGCTTGACGTTTACATTTCTCTCATCCATGAAGGCAAACGGATGAGACTAGAACTCAGCAGATCAGCGGTTTCCTCAGAGCGACCACAAAGGCCGAGGGATTGAATTGTTGTTCGTTAAATATTTGTCTGTGTGTTTTCAGTGTCGGGAGATTGACACGTTCCTCCCAGTGTCAGACGGGGCTGCGGTGGAGAAGCTTCCTGGTCGGAGGAATCTGTGGATTGGTCTCGGACTCACTCTGGGAGCAGTCTTAATCACTGTTCTCACTGCTGTCCTGGTGCTGAAGTATCACAGTAATGATCAATTATTCATTTTCTTTATCTTCGTTTCCCAGTTTAGTCCATTCTTGTACATTTACAGGAAAAGGATTTCACACATAGCAGTACAAAGATCTAGTCCCCATTATAATCCATCTGGTTTTTAGTTAAAGTAGCAGTAGTTCAGAGATATTTGAATGTCTAAATTACTTTTCCAGCCCCTAAATCTTGTTATTGTTTTCATTTTGATGTCCCGCCCTCCACCGTTTAACCAATCAGAAAGTCTGTGATCCGGGCGCCAGAACTCACAGCGTGGAGCTAATCTCACTGGTAAAGTACCATGTGGCGCAGAACTAAAAAAGGTCTTTTTATGATGTGTGGGCAGGTCCCGGCTCCAAAAGGTTAATGAGCACGTGCGCTGACATGCTGCAATACCACTCTGGGTCGGTGGGGGTGTACCCGGAAAGAGAATTACCCAATGCTTTTGTATGGTGTCTTCTTTCCTCTTGAAAAGGACTTCACATGATGGTCCAAAAGTGGCTCCTGGTTCCGGATGCTGTTGATGTTGAGGGGAGTGTACTTTTTAGACCAGTCTAGTTTAGCCGCTGTGGACTTCAGAAGGCGCTCATTTAATGAATGGGTCAAATGCGTTGTTTTCACGTTTTTGTGAAAGGAGGGGCTGCCCGCGGTCATTTTGACAAAGCCTAAAAGAGATGGCACATTAGTTTCAAAGGCGGAGATAGACATGAATATGTCTTTTTCTATCTTTGTGAAAAAGGTGTTGGTTATAGATTTGTTGTTGACAAAACTCTTGTCTATTCAGCTGTTATGGTCCCAGCTGGATTCGTCTGCATATCTGGCAACCTGAGTCAGGGAGAGTGGGAGAGGCTGCAGTACCACTTTTGGACACATTTTTACAGACTGCTAATTTAAAGGAATCATGGATCTTTTGGATTTTATATTGTAGTGTGGGAGAATTGTGTCATTCAGATAGCGTTAGTGATCCAAAAGATAATTTGCTTTGAATCAGTAAGAACATAAAAGTCTGATAAAAGCCTATAAAAATCTAACAAGAGCAGAAGTATCTTAGAACATTTGTATTTGTGTCTTGTTGGTGATGGCTGTTATCATTAAGTTCCTAGATTGATTTGAAAGAGCCTCAAAGACAGAGGTCCCTGGTTCTTGTGTGTGTGAATGCAGGACTAGACTGGGAACCATGACTAAAACCAGGAAATTAAAAGTGTTCCTACGATGTGAATCTTGTCTGTTTTTGTCTTTGTCTCAGAACATGCTGAGGTCCAGACTTCACCCAGACTCTACATCGGGTCCATGGAGATCCCAAACCAGCCTTTCCTTCAAGACTATGAACAGGCAGACAGCCAGCGCTTCAAGGAGCTCTCCTCCTTGGTCCAGAAGCAGGTCTGCGTCCGCTCTGGGATCAGACACAAACCCTGGAAAATATTTTTTTTTTTTAATGAAAATAAGTAAAATACTGATTTAAAATAATAAAAATGATCTAAAAATAGAACAAGAAAATATGACTTAAGATTTCTGAAATTAATAAAATAAAACTAGCCCCAAACGACAGGATTCTAGTTTAAAAACATACATTTCAAGTATTATTTACTTATTTCTTAAACATTTTTGATGTTTTCTTAAAATACAGCATCACAAACTTATTTTATCAAGAAAAGTCTGGAAATAAGAAAACATTTCCAACAATAAGACAACTCATCCTCAAATCCACTTTTTTTTGCTTATAAACGGTATAAATGAGTGTCCAATAGTGTTGTCTACATATCCTGGTCATAATTTTGTCACTTTGGTGCAAATTAGTTGAAAGTTAAACTTTCTGCCTAAAACCGTCGGTGAGGCGCCATCTGCTGGCGACCTGTATTACTACATTTGAATTTTGAATCTGGCGCCAACACTGGCGCCGCAGCAAGACCTGACGTCTGAAGCAAGACCTGACGTCTGAAGCAAGACCTGACGTCTGAAGCAAGACCTGACGTCTGAAGCAAGACCTGACGTCTGAAGCAAGACCTGACGTCTGAAGCAAGACCTGACGTCTGAAGCAAGACCTGACGTCTGAAGCAAGACCTGACGTCTGAAGCAAGACCTGACGTCTGAAGCAAGACCTGACGTCTGAAGCAAGACCTGACGTCTGAAGCAAGACCTGACGTCTGAAGCAAGACCTGACGTCTGAAGCAAGACCTGACGTCTGAAGCAAGACCTGACGTCTGAAGCAAGACCTGACGTCAGCAGCCCCCCGCCCAGAGCAATGTAAACGGCCCAGTCTCGTTCACGCCCCCTTTAGTCCTCAAGGCTACGCCCATTTAGAGGAAGATTTGAACAGGAAATGTGAGTGACGTAAGTGTAAAGTAATTGAATGTCCACACAAAACGTCGTGCGTAGTGCAAGGCTTTTACTACGGGTTCGGAACTAGCATAATCAACATGCAGGTTAACAACAAGAGGTATACAGTGTGTCATCGCGGGAGTTACCCCGGTAACCAGGCCAGATGTGATTTACGGCACGTGAGACTACTGTCGTAAAGTATCTCTTACATGACATCTCCCCTTTTCAATTCTTTTTTCTTTTTTTTTTTTTTTTTTTTTTTACATTCTGTAGCAAAAACAAAACCTTGTGAAAGATACTGTAAGAAACTCTTTCATTAGCTGTTTCAATAACACAGAATTTCAAAATGTAAACAGTAATATAAACAGTGCAAAAATAATTAACATTCTTAACACTTTTCTTCTCTTCTATTGTTTTTTTTTTTTTTTTTTTGTTTTTTTGTGTTGGGCAGTGTTCTTCGTACACCCTTACAGATTCAGTCTTTCTACAGGTCTGCATAACCTACCAGACCGTGTGTATAGCAGTCCATCATCAGGTGGGCAAGGCTGGGTAGCAGGCAACGCAGTGTCTGTAGAAACGGTAGGTACAGCCTGTTGGACAGCATCAGGCTGCGGCTGCTGTAGTGATGGAGGTGGCGTGATAACAGAGGATGCAGGCACGCACAGCAGATGGCGACGGTTGCGTCTCAGAGTTGCCCCTTTTTGCGTCTCGATGACATAAGATCTCGGGGTAGTGCTGTCACCAGCAACAACAGCGGGTGATCCCCAAACATTCTGATGGTCCAACTTGGAGAGAACAGAATCGCCCGGTTTCAGAGGTGGCAGGAGTTTTGTACCATGGCGCTGATTGAAATAGAAGGCTTGCTTCTGTTTCTCCCTTGCATCCTTACTCCTGACTGCTTGTAGATCAGGCCATTGGGGTTGGAGGTTTGACTCAAGCGTCGGAAGTGTAGTTTTAATCCTTCTCCCCATGAGCAATTCAGCTGGGCTTACACCTGTGGTGGCGCAAGGGGTAGAGCGGTAACACATGAGAGCGAGTAAAGGGTCTTTCTGCATCAGAATCCTCTTTGCAATTTGTACTCCTCTTTCCGCTTGTCCGTTCGCCTGGGGGTTATGCGGACTCGAGGTAATGTGTTCGAAGTCAAAGTCACGGGCAAAGTCCCCAAACTCCGTACATGCAAACTGGGGCCCGTTGTCCGAAACGGGCAGCCATAGCGTGCAAAAAGTGTTTTCAACTTCTGCACCACCTGTGAGGCAGTAGTTGTTGGCATGTGGAGTATCTCGATAAATCTGGAGAAGTAATCTGACACTACCAGGTAAGCGTGCCTGTTATAATCACACAGGTCGATTGCAAGTCTTTGCCAGGGCCTGTCAGGAAGAATGGTTGAGATGAGGGGCTCCCTTCGCTGTGTGTGCTTCATCTCACGGCAGGTTTGACAGGATTCAACTTTCAGTTTGATGTCAGTAGAAATGCCAGGCCACCACACAGATTCATTAGCCCGCTCCCCTGCATTTGGTCAGACCTTGATGTCCGTCATGGATCCGATCCAGGATGTCAGCTCTCAAAGTAGACGGAATCAGCATGCGACAGCCTCTTGTGATGATCCCGTTGTACTCTGACAATTCGCTTCTGACTGGGAAAAAGTCTCTGATGGCAATAGGAACATTTCCTACATATTCTGGCCAACCTGACTTAATGTACTGCAGTATCATCTGCAAGTTACTGTCAGCTGCAGTGGCTAGCCTTATGGTCTCCAGTCTTTGTGGTGTGGCTGGCATGCTGCTGATAACCGCTGCAATGTAACACTCTACATCTGAATGTGTGTCACTTGCCTCTGTTGTGCACTGTACTGGGCTGCGAGAGAGCGTGTCGGCTACAGTGAGAGTCTTGCCTGGTGCATATTCAGCCGTAGGCTTGAACCACATAAGCCTCATCAACAGTCTTTGGCAACGTATTGGGACATTGTCCAGATCCTTTTTATTCATCAGCGGCACCAAAGGTTTGTGGTCAGTGACCAACTTGAAGTTCTCCAGCCCGACCAGGTACTTCTCGAACCTCTCACATGCCCAAACGCTTGCCAGACATTCTTTTTCTATCTGGGCATATCTGGTTTCGGCGTCGGATAAGCGGCGAGAACAATACGCGACCGGTTTCCAGTCCCCATCGTGTAGTTGTAGCAGCACGCCTCCAATGCCATAGCTGCTAGCATCGGCTGATACAGCTGTAGGTCGGTTCACGTCATAGAACTTCAGAACAGGAGACGTAGACAGGATGTCTTTGATGCGCTGAAACGCCTGCTTCTGTGGGTGGTCCCACGTCCATGTAGTCTTGGATCTCAACAGTTCGTATAAAGGCTGGCCCACTGTTGACAGATGTGGAATATACTTTCCCAAGTATGTGAACATGCCCAAGACCCGTTTCAGATCCTGGACAGTCTGTGGTTCTGGCAGCTCTTTAATAGCTTTTACCTTGTCAGGGTCGGGCTTTACTCCTGACTTGTCAATCACCTGGCCCAGGAAGTGAAGTTGGTTCCGTCTGAACACGCACTTGTCTTTATTCAACTTCAAGCCTGCCGACTCGATTCTCTCCAGTACTTTGTTTAGGCGCTGGTCATGCTGTTCTGCTGTGTCGCCGTACACCAGTACATCGTCCATGTAGATGGCCACTCCGTCGAGATCACTCAGGGTCTCTGCCATCTTTCTCTGGAAGATTTCCGGAGCACTCGTGATACCAAAAGGGAGACGTTTGAATGCGTATCTCCCGAAAGGTGTAATGAATGTAGTCAACTTACTGCTTTCCGGGTGAAGAGGTATCTGCCAAAACCCTGAGGCCGCATCCAGGGATGTAAACATGGTGGCGCCACTCAGTTTTGCAGTGATTTCCTCTGCAGTTGGGAGAACATATCTCTCCCTCTTCACAGCCTCGTTTAACCTTTTCAGATCTACACAGATGCGCACTTTGCCGGTTCGTCTTGGGACTGGCACCATGGGTGCGCACCAGTCGGTCGGTTCAGTCACTTTTTCAATGACTCCGTTCTCCTCCATGCGCAGTATTTCCTCTTTTACTTTCTCTAAGAGAGGCAGGGGAACTCTTCGCGCTGTGTGTACTGCATATGGCTCTGTGTTCTCTTTTAGACGTATTTTGACGGGCTCGGTGTTGAGAGTCCCGTGCTCACCAAATGCTTTGTGCACTTCCTCAATGCGTTTGACTAGTCCCATTGCACATGCTGTATCTTTGCCTAGCAAATTATTAGCTGTCTGGCTGTGGATCACATAAACTGGGAATGAGTAGTGCTTTTCCTTGTATTTTGCAGTCGCCTGAAATTTCCCCATGCAACTTAGCTGACCACCGGGGCTGTTCATTGGTGGAATGTTTGACTGCACCAGTTTTTGCTCAGGGACTAACTTGTTGAATGTCTCTTTCTCCATCACGTTTAAATCTGCCCCTGTGTCGATTTTAAATTTAACCGGTGTTGCGCCAATCACAATTTCAACTGTCCATTGATCACTCTCTCTCTTAGTGTCTGTGACGGCACCTAGGAAATATGGCGTCTGAGAAACAGTAGATGCGTCTGTCACTTCTCTGACTGACTTACTGTGGCACATCCTTTCCCAGTGGCCCACTTTCTTGCATTTGTTGCAAGCTTATTTATTGGCTGGACACTTATCCTGGTCTCTGTGCTTTAGTTTGCCACATCTTCCACATTTTGGTTCACCACTTTCTCTCTTTTTATTTTTCCACTGCTGCTTTCCTCTGTATGGAGATTTTGCATGTGAGACCTCCTGCACCGCTGCGCACGCCTCGCCCTGCTGGTTCACCTGCCTGGTCACCTCCTCGGACTGGCGCACGGCCTGAATAGTTTGGGATAATGTAAGCTGCGTCTCCAACTGCAGTTTACGAGACATCTCCTTGTCGCTAATTCCCACCACTATACGGTCTCTGATGTGCTCCACTCTCTGTGCCCCAAAGTCACAATGTTCCGATAGTTCATAAAGAGCCCTGATAAACATTTCAGCTTTCTCACCGGGCCGCTGCACCCTCTGGTGGAAACATGCGCGCTCGTGAATAACATTCCTTTTGGGGTAGAAGTATTCATCGTATTTTCCTAACACAACGTCAAACTTTTTTTTATCGGCGTCCTCCGCAAAAGTGAATGCTTTAAAAATGTTTTCAGCCTCCGGGCCCATTGCGTATATCAATGAGCTGGCTTGGACCTCACCGTCCTCCTTGTTCAGCTTCGTAGCGACGCGAAAACGCTGGAAACGTTGCTTCCAATCGCTCCATTCAGTCGGGCGGTCGAACGGGAAACTCTCCGGTGGATTAAACTTGGCCATTTTCCTGAAGCCGTACGTCCGTCACCAGCTTCTGACACCATGTAAAGTAATTGAATGTCCACACAAAACGTCGTGCGTAGTGCAAGGCTTTTACTACGGGTTCGGAACTAGCATAATCAACATGCAGGTTAACAACAAGAGGTATACAGTGTGTCATCGCGGGAGTTACCCCGGTAACCAGGCCAGATGTGATTTACGGCACGTGAGACTACTGTCGTAAAGTATCTCTTACATGACAGTAAGCTCCGAGGAGCGGGGGTGAGAACCACTTTAAAACAATCTTAAAAAGTCACTGCTCAGACTTTTTTCTCTGATAATATTATGAAGTATCTTTAAACTAGTAAAATTATCTTATGACAAACTACATTCAAGAAACAAAAACTTACAAATAATCATCATTTATGTTGTTTTTAGTGAATAAATCTGACCAAATTTTTACTTTTTTTCAGTGAGTGTTTGTGTGTCACTCCTCTTAGCCTAGCTTTAGCATGTAGCCTAGCTTTAGCATTTAGCCTAGCTTTAGCATGTAGCCTAGCTTTAGCATTTAGCCTAGCTTTAGCATGTAGCCTAGCTTTAGCCATCTCCTTATTCGCTAACGAAGCCCGTGGGGAGTAGAGCCACAACATCTTTGCTTCAATAACATTTACTAAACATTCCTCTTGCTCCGGCTTCAGTTTCTTGATATTTGGATTGAACCAGAACAGATTATTTTACTATCACATTCTCCGACAAACTACAACCAGCAAATTCAGCACAAACTCTTGACGTCACCGACACCGACCTACAACACCTGCCTCCCCTGCTCTCTGATTGGTCGGAGGAGATTCAACCGAGGAAATTATAAGATATTTAATTATCAAAATAAAATGAAACCTGGGACATAGTTACCCTCATGTTAATACCATATCATTCTTATTTTAATTCTTTTAAAATATGTAGGAGATTACAATCATAGACGGCTTATAGTTTATTGCTATCATATAAATTCATTTTTTCATTCATTATTTTCTCATTTCAGCTCAGTATCATCTACAATAAAGACTCAGTCCTGGCTCGGTACTTCACAGGGTCCTCAGTCCAGGCCTTCAGGTAATATCTCCGTTTGTTCGTTTCTAACTCCTCTGGTCTCACAGCCTTATCCACTCACACAGGACCTATTATTATTATTATTATTATTAAATGACAATGATAAAACCTATTAACTAAATATGCCTTTTAAAAACCCCAATAACATTTTCAATTATCAAAGCAGCAGTGTGTAAAAATGTGGCCAAAAGGGGTACTGCAGCCTCTCCCACTCTCCCTGACTCAGGTTGCCAGATATGCAGACGAATCCAGCTGGGACCATAACAGCTGAATAGACAAGAGTTTTGTCAACAACAAATCTATAAATCTATAAAACATTGTGGTGTAGTAGTATGAATGAAGAAGCCCATAGTATCTTAAATCACTTGTAGATTTATATAGGAACTTTTCAGAGCAGGTTTACAGCAGTCAGTTCAACATCAACGCATTATTTAAACTCTCTCTTCTTCGGCAGTGCATAGCATCGTATAGAGTAGCTGCGCCCTCTAGCGGCATAAGCATAGAACACAACATTTCCTTGCTTGTAGAAAAAGTACATTGTCCAGTATATTTAGCAAACAATTGGAAATGTATCACTTTAGCACAATGTAGCTGTAAAATTTAAGTAAACCCAATTTACTTTTAGTCTGTAACCAATAGTATCTTAGGCAGTGAATATGAACAAAGTAAAACAGATTGCTAAGGTAAACATAAGCAAAACCAAGTAACTTTCTTTTAAACTAGCAAAGTACAACTGAATCAGAAATGTTAAGGCATAACATAGTCATTGTGCCAAGTAGGTTTGTATTTAGTACGTGGTTGTTTTGGTGTAGTTTCAGTGGCACTTTTATCAAAGGGGCAAGTAATGTTGGAGTCCTTTTCACTGACTGGACAGTGGGCAAGGTGAGTAGCATTCCAAACTTTTCCATCACTAAGCAAGAATGAATGTGTACCCACATTTCTCTCGACAGTCTCTGGAGGAGTGAATCTGGGGTGTGCTTTTGGAACATGTTGAGGTTTCCTTACCCTCACTCTCTCACCAGGTCGAAAAGAAGGTTCCCGTGCACCACGTTTGGCATCAGTGTAGCGTTGCATTTTGTTTTGACGCTTGCGTACAGTCTTTCGAGCATTATCATCCACGGCAGATGTGGCAGTTGGCAAGGGCAGAATGTTTAACTTAGTGCGCATTTTGCGTCCATACATAAGTTCATAAGGAGAAGTAGCAGTAGTAGCATGTGGTGTTGCACGGTAGATTTGAAGCCAGTTAGTAACAGTGTCTTTCCATGGTTGGGACTCTTGAATAGCAGATTGAATGCAGGATCTAAGTGCACGATGAAATCTTTCAATAGCACCATTTGCAGCTGGATAGTAGACAGATGTTTTACTGTGAGAAATGCCTCGTGACTGGAGGAAGGAGGCAAAAGCTGCAGAGGTGAATTGAGTACCATTGTCTGTTACTATGTTCTCTGGATCTCCATGTCGACTGAAAACTGAAGACAGAAAGTGGACAACATCATCTGTGGTTGCAGTACGTGAAAAAGCAAGTTCAGGCCACTTTGAATAGTAATCAGTGAGTGTAATCGCAAAACGGCAGTCGGAGGCTGCAGTTTCAAAAGGTCCAACTATGTCAAGTCCAAGTTTCTTCCATGGACCATCCGGCAGTGGTACAGGTTGAAGTGGAGCAGGGCGTGTACATGCAGTTTTATCATTGGACTGACAGAGGACACATGACGCAATAGCAGTTTGAACTTGTGAATCCATTCCAGGCCACCAGTAGAGGTCTCGCAGGCGTTGTTTTGTGCGAACGATGCCTTGGTGACTCTCGTGAGCAAGTGTGATCAAGTTGTGACGTAAAGAGAGTGGTGCAATCAGCCTGGAGCCACGTAGGATGTAGTTGTCTTTAGTTGAAAGTTCATCTCTGATTTTGTAGTAAGGTGTAAGCATTTCAGTAAGCGGCTTAATAGTAGCAGGCCAACCTTTATCAATCTGTGCACGTAAGGCAGACAGTTCAGGGCAAGCAGCGCATGCTGTATCAAAGTCAGTTACTGGCAGTGATGACAGTGCAGCAGATATGTGAGCAACCATTTCAGGTTCAGCATCAGTTGTAAAGTCTGCAGGCAAGGGCAAAGGAAGGCGTGAAAGACAGTCAGCAGTGTAGTTTTGTGTACCTGGTCTGTAAACAACATCATAGTCAAAACACAGCAAGCGTGCAGACCAACGAGCAATGCGCATTCCAGCACGTCCCATGCCTTTGGTGCTGAGTAGAGTTGTCAAAGCTTGGTGGTCAGTACGAAGTATGAAGCGTCGTCCCCAGAGGTATGTTCTCCATTTTTCTGTTGCCCACACACACGCAAGTGCTTCTTTCTCAACTGTGGAGTATTTGCGTTCTGTACTGGTAAGTGTGCGCGAGGCGAAAGCAACAGGTTTCTCAGTTCCATCAGGTTGAACTTGTGTGAAAACACCTCCCAGTCCATAGTCACTAGCATCTGTTGAAATCACAATTTGTAAAGCAGGGTCAAACAGAGTGAGTGCGGGACTGTTTACAAGGAGTCGTTTTACTTCTTCAAAACTGTTTTGTGCCTCAGATGACCATTTGAATGTGTCTTTATTATTGGCACAGTCTCTCATGGGGGCTACAACTGTGGCAAAGTTGGGCAGGAATTTTGAATACCATGAGACAAGTCCAAGGAATGACCTTAGAGTCACAGCATCTGAGGGGGGCGGAGCTTTAGTCACAGCCTCAATGTGCTCTTGGTCAGGGAGGATGCCATCTGCAGTAATGACATGTCCCAAGAAGCGCAGGGAAGGTTTTCTGAAATTACACTTGTTGTCGTTTAACACCAGTCCAGCTTCTTTCAGTTTGTGTAGAACCGTGTGGAGGTTTTGATCATGTTCCTGTAGAGTTTTACCATAAACAATAAGATCATCCAAGTAGTTTTGGACACCAGGAATGTCTTTGAGGATTTCAGCCATCATCTTTTGAAAGGCTGAAGGAGCAGATGCAAGTCCGTAGGGCACTCTACGAAATCTGAATAGTCCATCATGTGTAATGAAAGCAGTGAGATCTCTGCTATCTTCATGAAGGGGTAGTTGGTAGTATGCATTAGCCAAGTCTATAGAAGAGAACACTTTGGCACCATGTAGGTTTGTGAATAGCTCGTCTACATGTGGGAGTGGGTAGCAATCTATTATCACAGCTTTATTTGGTTCACGGAGATCTGCACACATCCGTATTCCACCAGTTTTGCGTCCTGTAACAACAATTGGTGAAACCCAGGGTGATGCGTCGATCCTCTCGATGACACCAGCATTCAGTAAGCGATCAAGCTCAGCTGAAACAGAAGATCTGACAGCAAAAGGTAAACGTCTCAGTTTTTGTCTCACAGGTTTGACAGTAGGGTCAAGTTTTACCTTATGGACAAAGTTTTGCACGCAGCCTATTTCAGGAGAAACACTGTTTTGAGTAGGTGCAGTGTCAGTAGTCATCACTGCAGTTTGTGGAGGCAGGACAGTGTTACCTTTGATGCATATTTTTAGCGCATTCATCAGGTCTCTTCCCAGTATGGGTGTTCCTCTTTTCACTACATAGAAAGTTTCCGTGGAGGACACGTTTCCTCGGCTCACTTTAACACCGAGGCAACCCAGCAATGGGATCTTTTCTCTTTGTGTAGGTGACGAGTTGCATTGCAGGAGGTTGTAGTGCAGTATCACTGAAGCATTTTTCATAGGTGCGGTACGGCAGGATAGACACAGCAGAGCCAGAGTCCACAACAAGGCTCAAATCCACATTTGGAGAAGTCGGAGTGCATGCAGTAACATCACAGTGGATTTTCTTTGGTGCATGGCTAGCATCTCTAAGATACAGTACAGTTACTTTTGGTAAGTGTATCTCATGTACATCACTTGTCTTAGCTGAACGGCAGACACGAGCAAAATGGCCAATTTTGGAGCATGACTTACATTTTGCCTTGGCAGCTGGGCACTGTGGATAGTTTGCCAGGTGTTTATCAGAGCCACACCTGAAACAACACGTCGGAGCGGAAGAAGCAGTAGCATCTGGAGGTTTACTTGGACGTTTGTTTTGTTGACTTTTCTTTTTGTAAGGAGGACGCTGTTGTATGGCCTGTACTGGAGTAGTGTGGTCTGTTGCCATTGATTTAGCTTGATTCGCAGCAGATTCCACCTGAGTAGCAAGTGTAATGGCTTTATCCAGAGACAAATCAGGTTCAAGCAAAAGTCTTTCTCTGATGCGGGAGGCAGTAACGTGTTCAATCAGCTGGTCACGTATCATTTCATCCATTTTGTCCTCAAAATTGCATCTTGAAGCGAGATCACGTAAAGCAGCCACATATTGTACGATTGTTTCATGAGGTGCTTGTTTTCTTTTTCGAAATAAATGTCTTTCCACAACGACATTTACTCTTGGAGTAAAGTATTTTTCTAAAGCAGTAACGGCTGACGCGATAGTATCACCCGTCTCTGGTAAAGAGTAGAACAAACGCTGTCCTTCGGTTCCCAAGCAGTGGAGCAAAGTAGCTCTTTTGCGCCCTTCTGGCCATGAATTTCCAGTTGCATTTATTACCAGCAAGTAGTTGTTGAACATCCGCATCCACATCTCGAACGGCACAGTCGGCTCTCCCGGACTCGGCAAAAAAGCAGGCGGCGGTGGTACGTTACCAGCCATAGCAGCAACTTCTTCGAAGCAAAACAAAAAAAGAGTAGTGAAAAAACGCACGTAGGTTCACTCGTCGCCAATTTGTGGTGTAGTAGTATGAATGAAGAAGCCCATAGTATCTTAAATCACTTGTAGATTTATATAGGAACTTTTCAGAGCAGGTTTACAGCAGTCAGTTCAACATCAACGCATTATTTAAACTCTCTCTTCTTCGGCAGTGCATAGCATCGTATAGAGTAGCTGCGCCCTCTAGCGGCATAAGCATAGAACACAACAAACATGTTTCCTGTGAACTGCACCAACCATTGCTGTGTTTCTGGGACTTGGAAACCTGCAGCTAAACCCTGAACATGGACCGAGGCCAGAACAGGTTTAGGCTCCGCCCTCAGAACACGCCTCGAGAACACGCCTCGAGAACACGCCTCAAGAACACGCCTCGAGAACATGCTCTGGGCGTGAACAGAAACAGGTTTCATCTCGTTAGTCACAGGAGTCGTCTCACAATTAACCTTAAAGTAGCAATATGTAATATGTATGTTCATAGTTATTATGTATGTTCATGGTTATTATGTATGTTCATGGTTATTATGTATGTTCATGGTTATTATGTATGTTCATGTCTAGTTATTATGTATGTTCATGGTTATTATGTATGTTCATGTCTAGTTATTATGTATGTTCATGTCTAGTTATTATGTATGTTCATGGTTATTATGTATGTTCATGGTTATTATGTATGTTCATGTCTAGTTATTATGTATGTTCATGGTTATTATGTATGTTCATGTCTAGTTATTATGTATGTTCATGGTTATTATGTATGTTCATGGTTATTATGTATGTTCATGTCTAGTTATTATGTATGTTCATGGTTATTATGTATGTTCATGTCTAGTTATTATGTATGTTCATGGTTATTATGTATGTTCATGTCTAGTTATTATGTATGTTCATGGTTATTATGTATGTTCATGTCTAGTTATTATGTATGTTCATGGTTATTATGTATGTTCATGGTTATTATGTATGTTCATGTCTAGTTATTCTTTAATGGCCCTAATCTGTCATAATAATAATCTGCTCTTTTCCAATCCTTCTTTAAAGTAGTACTAGAATTTAATATGCTGCTATCCAGAATATATGACTGCAATATGTGTTTATAATATTTCGGGTGTTCATTTTGACATGTTCAGATGAATTATGTTAAAAAAACTGCTTTTAAGTGGCACCTTTTCACTTCCGCATAGAAACACTAGGGGGCGCCAAAATGGCGGCGATGACGTAGCAGAAGGACCTCTCACAGCAGCAGCAGCAGCAGTCTGGGCTGAATCTGTAGGAGGTTTCACTGTCATCTGAACAAGGTATAGACATATTTACATCCGTTTTGTACATAATAGTGTGCAACTCTTTTAACTTTTTAGCCTTATTTGTGAGATTCAAGCAAACTAGTGTTGGGAAAGTTAGCTAACTCTACTTGATATCATAAAACATGCTAACAAGGCTAATATTCGTTTTTACATTATGCCAGTCTCACTTTGCCTTAGATTTATTTACCACAATGTACATTGTAATATCCATAAATGCTAACACCTATTAACGGTTTAATTAGCATTTTTATCAATGATTGCATCACATGTAGTCTATGTTTTCAACTTCTGCAGCTTTTTGTTCATAAAAGTAAAATAATATTTAATTCAAGTTATTTTGATTAGCATTTATGGATATTACAATGTACATTGTGGTAAATAAATCTAAGGCAACCAAAGTGAGACTGGCATAATGTAAAAACAAATATTAGCCTTGTTAGCATGTTTTATGATATCAAGTAGAGTTAGCTAGCTAACTTTCCCAACACTAGTTTGCTTGAATCTCACAAATAAGGCTAAAAGGTTAAAAGAGTTGCACACTATTATGTACAAAACGGATGTAAATATGTTTATACCTTGTTCAGATGACAGTGAAACCTCCTACAGATTCAGCCCAGACTGCTGCTGCTGTGAGAGGTCCTTCTCCTACGTCATCGCCGCCATTTTGGCGCCCCCTAGCGTTTCTATGCGGAAGTGAAAAGGTGCCACTTCAAAGCAGTTTTTTTAAACCGAAATATTATAAACACATATTGTAGTTATATATTCTGGATAGCAGCATATTAAATTCTACTACTACTTTAACTGATAACAGTAGTTCAGAGATATTTAAATTTCTAAATTACTTTTCCAACCCCTAAATCTTGTTATTGTTTTAATCTCGATGTCCCGCCCTCCACCGTTTCACCAATCAGAAAGTCTGTGATCCGGGCGCCAGAACTCACCGCGTGGAGCTAATCTCACTGGTAAAGTACCATGTGGCACAGAACTAAAAAAGGTCTCGTTATGATTCTCAAACCATTAACGACAAAACAAGGATAAACACCAGGATTTCGATCTTTGTCAAAAAGGTGTTGGTTATAGATTTGTTGTTGACAAAACTCTTGTCTATTCAGCTGTTATGGTCCCAGCTGGATTCGTCTGCATATCTGGCAACCTGAGGCAGGGAGAGTGGGAGAGGCTGCAGTACCACTTTTGGACACATTTTGACACACTGCTCCTTTAATTCAAATGAAATTAAAAATGCTTCTTCTATATTTTCCAGTGAGTCCTCCGGGAACAGTGTGGTGGCCTATTATCAGTCTGAGTTCTCCGTCCCTGACTCCCAGAATGCTTTGCTGGATGAAGCCATGCAGTTTCTTCAGCAAACGGATCACGTCGGGAGGAAAGGGAGCAGCAGATCTGGACCTTTGCCGCCCAAGAACGCCCTGCAGGTCAAACAGGTCAACACTGGAGGTAAAAGAACTCTCCACACATTTGAATCAAGTCAGGGCTGTCAAACTCATTTTGGGATCGAATAATAAAACAGGAACTGGTCGGGGCCAAAAGAATATAACAGACTTTTCTTATAATTATTGTTTTTTTTTTTTTCTTTTAATTATTATTTTTTTTTGTTTACAGTTTTTTACCTTTACTGACACATGTTTCACTATTATTTTCTGGTTGATTTTTTTGATTTTTTTATTATTATTATTATTGTAGCTGTCCGTGAACATTTTTGTTTACATGTATCTTTATTCTGTATATAATCTGTTTATAATAGTGTATTTATTGTGTGTCGCTTCTGACCTCTTGTGGTGGAGTTGTGAACTTGTATTACCTGTGCAATATGCGCATGCGCGCATTGGAGCCATTACGTGAGAGACAGAGCGAGAAAATGGCGAAAAGGATGGACAAGGTAACCTTGTGCTGAACCGAAAGTAAGGATATGGACAGCGAAAAGTACTGACAACTCCAGAGTGTCTAGATAGAAGGCGCACACGGTAATTGTATATTGTTTTATTGTAATGTAGCGGGTATTTGGGGACTCGCAGATAACTAATATAGTATTACTAATAATAATAATAATAACGATTAATAATAATGAAATAGAATGGTATGGACTAGTTACAGTACAGAAGACTAGGTCTGGCTGCAGGAGCTGGTGGTCAGTAACAACACAGAAACATAGTTTGCATTTGGTGCTGGTACCATATATTTGGAAGTGAACAACTATTTACAAACAGAAATAATAGGACAAAATATAGAAAAACCCCAAATATTTACATACTGCAGTTTGTACCGGTTATAGTTAAGTGCACTTTGAGGTTATTGTTCAGGTAGGATATTACAGAATTCACAGCGGTTGCCACTCACACACACACACAGAACAAAACAGAAAATGAAATGTCCCAGCAATGGTGGATTTTGCCAGACCAACGCCTGGGGGGACAGGCTGCGGACAACCTTCCTACCGGACCAGCAGGGTGGCTGTTCAGTGGATGCGCGTCGATGGTAGGCTCCCAGCCTTAGTTCAGCTCGCCATCAGTCATCTCTCCAGAGAATGGAGAAATCCAAGAGAAAGAGAGAGAGAACCTGGCCTGCAATGCCACAACAGGACCAGTAAATAATAGGAATGCATTAACTTCAGCATTCATTCAAATTCTATGTGTACACATTTCTAAATCATAATAATCCAATGTAAAACAACAAAACAGGTTGATTTAACAGTCAGTGTAACATGAAACTTATATTAGCTGCACAAGGTTCGTATAAATAAGACAGTACTGTATAATCCGATTTCCTCAGTGCATGTAAACACACTGCAATTAAAACCCACCTAGCATTAGCACATGGTTCATTCATTCAGACTTACTCACCAGTTCCTCTATATAACAGACCCCGATGGCGGTGACGTTACCCTGCAGCCCAGTAGGTTCTAAAAGAGTTGCATTAACAGGCTTAACATAATCGAGCACGAGATTGTAACATTAGCAAAACACAAACCTGCCCACAGCTGTCAGTTGACTTCCCCACACCTCTGATGAGGAAGTCGCTGCAGCTGGGTTAAATGTGATTGGCTCACTGCGTGATTGGCTTAAGCGCGGTCATGTGACAGGGGTTAATTAAGGTCACTGGGCATGCCCAGGCAATTTAAAGGAATAGGAGCTGTAGGTCTAATATACACACTATTAATGCATATTTTCACCTGGGTTACACCCCCCCCCCTTAAACCCATGCACGTCCCGTTGCATGTTAAACTACGTGAATAACTGAACTGGTGGTAGGCGCAGGAGTTAAAGCGTCTGATATACTGTGTAATAAAGTTTGAACCACGGATATCAGGGGATTACCAAGCGAATGGTACTGCAACCTTTTAGGCGGCAGTCGTTGACGCACAGGACGTCTTGGAATGGGTTCTGGCTCTACAGAATCAGGAGTTAACTCAAAGGTTAGGGGTTCAGAGACACTAGAGACTGACGTCTCAGGATCGACAGACTCGTCGTCTTCAGTGAGTGGAATTTCAACGAATTCGGGACTGACTGGATGAAGTGCGTAGTCAGACAAATTTCCTTCCACAGGCAGTTCGACAGATTCTTCTTCCTCCTCGGACTCAGGTAGGTGTTCAGGTAAGTTGCTCACAGATGCTACATATTCCTCAGCTTCAGGTAAGTGGTTAGGTGTTACAGGTAAAGTCTCGTCAGGTAAGTACTCACTCTCCGATCCTTCACCAACAACAGCTGGTTCACTCACAGGTGACATTGGTGGAGAAAGATAGTCATTGGCAACATTAGGGGATGAAGCCTTTTGGTAAATCTTCTCAACAGTGAACGTCATCGGACTGGGGTCCAGACTGAGAACTGCTGGTTCAGGTGGAGAGTCTTCCTCTTCAGAGACCTCAGAGTCATGCAGAATCTCGCGCTGCTGCCGTGTTCTTGGCCTTGAGACTGGACTGGCTTCAATGGATGGCTCTTCAACAGCAGGGAGGAACCCACATGGTAATAGGAGGTCTCTGTGAAGAGTACGTTTAGGACCATCACTACGCTCTGGCTTCACTGTATAGACTGGTAGGTCTCCAGCTTGATCCACCACAACGTAGATGTCCTGCTCCCACTTGTCACTGAGCTTGTGTTTACCTCTCAATCGAACACTACGCACAAGCACTCTGTCTCCAGGCTCCAACTTTGAGGGAACGACCCTTTGGTCAAAGCGGACCTTGTTCTTTTCAGATGCTTTGGCGGCGTTCTTCGAGGCAATGTCGTAGCTTTCCTTCAACCGAGACTTCAGACTTTGGACATACTGTGAATGAGGTTGGTGCTTCTCCCCACTCAGCGGTAACCCAAAAGCCAGGTCGACCGGAAGCCGTGGAGAACGTCCGAACATCAATTCGTATGGTGTGTATCCTGTGGTCTCATTCCTTGTACAATTGTAAGCATGTACCAAGGGTTTGACGAAGTCTTTCCAATTTGTTTTCTGTTTTGCTTCCAGAGTTCCCAACATGTTGAGTAAAGTGCGGTTGAATCTTTCTACCGGATTTCCTCGCGGATGGTATGGTGTAGTCCGACACTTCTTGATTCCAGCCACTTCACACAATTCCTTGATCAGTTTGGACTCAAAGTCCCGCCCTTGGTCTGTATGTAGTCGTTCTGGTATCCCATAATAGACTATGAAGTTGTCCCACAGACATTTGGCCACTGTCCTAGCCTTCTGATTCGGTGTTGGAAAGGCTAAGGCGAATTTGGTGAAGTGATCTGTTAACACGAGGATGTCTTTGGTGTTACTGGTGTCTGGCTCGAGGCTGAGGAAATCCATACAGATGAGTTCAAGTGGTCTGGAAGTTTGTATACTGACGAGAGGAGCGGCTCTCTCAGGAAGAGCTTTGCGACGTACACACCGTCCACAAGTCTTTATCTTGTGCTCTACGTCAGCAGACATTTTGGGCCAATAGAACCGGGTACGAGCGAGGTCTAACGTACGCTCTATTCCCATGTGACCCATATCATCATGGAGACTCTGCAAAACAGTGAAACGAAGTTCTCCAGGCAGGACCAGTTGATATGAAGTCTGTTCCCTTGTCCTGTCGCTTTCTGTAGAGAATGCCTTCAACTAGTTCGAGCTTATTCAGCTCCCTCAGCAGCAAGGAAATCTCAGGCAGCTCCTCCTTGGCAGTGGGAGGGACTGTCTCACCTGTCTCCATCTGGTGTATGACTTCCCTGAGATTCGGGTCAGCCCTCTGCTTGTCCCGGAGTTCAAGATGGGAAAGAATCGGAACCACAGGCAGCCCTGGATCTTCTATGTAACTCTCGGGAAGAACATCTGCCATGACAGACAGGGACTCGACCAAGGTGCTCACTGCCTCCCCCCGCATGAGACAACTCTGGCAAATGGCATTGACAACCTCAGATGGAATTGAGGGGTCGCCAGGATCAGACAGATGTTGTCTTGCGAACCGGTCGAGGAGTTCTTGATCGGATTCGCCGCAAGGAGAGTCTTCCTGCGGAAGGCGGGAAAGCGCGTCCGCATCCAGATTCTGTCGTCCAGCTCTATATTGTAACTTGAAGGCAAATGTGGAGAGTGCAGCCAACCACCGATGGCTCATTGCATCCAGCTTGGCTGATGTCAGGACATACGTAAGGGGGTTACTGTCGGTAACCACGGTAAAATTGGCACCGTACAGATAGTCCTGAAATTTTTCTGTCACACTCCACTTTAGCGCTAAAAACTCAAGCTTATGAGCTGCATAGCGACCTTCGCTTGACGAGAGTCCTCGGCTTGCAAAAGCAATAGCCCGTAGATTTCCGTCCTGCTCTTGATAGAGCGCTGCACCCAGTCCCGTGGTGCTTGCATCCGTATGCAGAATGTAAGGCCGCTTTGGATCAGCGAACTCCAGAACTGGTGCACTGGTGAGTTTCTCAATCAAAGTACTGAAAGAAAGTTGACATTGTGGACTCCACCGGGAACCGAAGGGTTGCTTTGGATCAAACTGGCGAACCTCTGAATCAAGTTTTGAGTTCTTCCTTGTGGCAGAATATCCACGGGTCAGGTCGTTGAGAGGCTTTGCGATGGCTGAATACCCTTTAATGAAACGGCGATAATAGCCTGCAAATCCCAGGAAGGATCTTAAGGTCTTAAGATTAATGGGAACTGGCCAGGATTTTAGTGCAGATACCTTCCCTGGGTCGGTCTCAACACCATCTTCAGAAACAATGTGACCTAGATATTTGACTGATGTCTGAAAGAATTTGCACTTTTCAGGCGATAGTTTCAATCCGTACTCTTGTAGACGGCTAAGCACTCCAAGCAGACGGCTCTCGTGCTCCTCAAGCGTGTTGGAAAAAATGATCAGATCGTCCAAAAACACAAGGACCTCTTTCAAATGGAGATCACCCATACACTTTTCCATTAACCTTTGGAAGGTTGAGGGTGCGTTGGTTACTCCCTGCGGCATTCTGTTGAATTCCCAGAATCCGAGAGGTGTCACAAAAGCTGTTTTTGGTTTATCCTCTTCATTCATTTCGATTTGGTAATAACCAGACTTGAGGTCTAGCACCGAAAACCACTTGGATCCAGTGAGTGCCGAAAATGATTCTTCCAAGTTTGGCAAGGCATATGCATCCTTGACAGTCTGCAAATTGAGCTTGCGGTAGTCGATGCATAGTCGAATATCTCCATTTTTCTTCTTGACAACAACTATAGGTGACGAGAACGGTGACTCGGATTCTCTGATGACACCGGCGTCCAGAAGCTCTCTCAGATGTTTGCGAACAGCTTCTATATCCTGAGGATGGATGGGTCTTGCTCGGTGCTTAAACGGAGTGTTGTCGTGGAGATTAATATGATGTTTCACATGACTAGTGCAACCAACGTCCATGTCATGCTGGGAAAAGACGTTAGACATTGCAGTTAACTTGGTGGTGATTCTTTCCTTCCATTCCGGGGGTAATGGCGATTCTCCAAAGTTGAAAACTACAGGAGTGCCGTCGGCCCCATGTGCTGAAGAACTGGTCACATGCTGCTCTGAGACAATGCATTCATACGCTCCGAGCTCCGCTATGATGGTCGTGGGTGGTATACAAATGTCTTGCTCCGATTCATTTCTCACCATAACAGGTACTTGATGAGGGAACCGCGTTGGCATGGCAACAAGACAGCTGCTAACACACAGACCACCCGGCAGGCCTGAAGCCGGATGTTGGACGACAGCATACTGACTGGCTGGAGCAGAAATTTTAGCGGAGCCCTTCAACAATACGGTGTGGCCAGCAGGAACAAGCACAGAGGATTTACTGAGCAGAGTTACAACTCCAAGATGGTCGCTACAGTTCTGTTGGTAGGTCACTTGGAGAGTTTGTAGTACGGCTCGGTATCCGGATGCATTCGGTTGGAAGGAAGAATGTTCACTTTGCCGAAACTGGTCATAGAGTGTTTCGAGAGTGTTCATGCCAATCAGGATTGAGGTAGGAAATCCTGGTCTAACATCAGGAACAATGAGTGCAAGAGTTGGAACTGTAACCATACATCCAACAAAGTCT